AATATCTTACTGTAGGCAGCAATAACAATGTCTTGCCATAGCTGCTGCTAGGCCACCGAAATTTCTGACAACAATGTCTTACCATAACAGCCGCATAATCACCAGAATCTCCACCAATAACAATGTCTCTTAGATGCTTCTTAAACAATGGAACCTTCACCAATAACAATGTCTTACCTTAGCTGCTGCTACAATCAGAGTCTTCACCAATAACAATGTCTTACCTTAGCTGATGCTACAACCAGAGCCTTCACCAATAACAATGTCTTACCTTACTTGCTGCTACAACCAGAGCCTTCACCAATAACAATGTCTTACCTTAGCTGCTGATACAACCAGAGTCTTCACCAATAACAATGTCTTACCTTAGCTGCTGATACAACCAGAGTCTTCACCAATAACAATGTCTTACCTTAGCTGCTGATACAACCAGAGCCTTCACCAATAACAATGTCTTACCTTACTTGCTGCTACAACCAGAGTCTTCACCAATAACAATATCTTACCTTAGCTGCTGATACAACCAGAGTCTTCACCAATAACAATGTCTTACCTTAGCTGCTGATACAACCAGAGTCTTCACCAATAACAATGTCTTACCTTAGCTGCTGATACAACCAGAGCCTTCACCAATAACAATGCCTTACCTTACTTGCTGCTACAACCAGAGCCTTCACCAATAACAATGTCTTACCTTAGCTGCTGCTAAACCACCAGAACCTCCACCAACAACAATGAGATCATAGTCATACTTCTTTGTGGTTGTGTTGATCATTTTCAATAACTGACCATCACTATGGGCTTTTAATGTTGAATCACAACCTCCTGGAAAATCAAATCATTCACATTACTCTATCTTATTGGATAACTTAGAAATTTACTTTTACTGGTGGTTCACTGTTATTACTTAACAAGTCACATTAATAGTGAGTGCTATTGTTGATTTACAGAATCTAGTGCTATTGTTGATTTACAGTATCTAGTGCTATTGTTGATTTACAGTATCTAGTGCTATTGTTGATTTACAGTATCTAGTGCTATTGTTGATTTACAAAATCTAGTGATGTTGTTGATTAACAAAAGCTAGTGCTATTGTTGATTTACAGTATCTTGTGCTATTGTTGATTTGCAGAATCTAGTGCTATTGTTGACTATTGTTGATTTACAGAATCTAGTGCTATTGTTGATTTACAGAATCTAGTGCTATTGTTGATTTACAGTATCTAGTACTATTGTTGATTTACAGTATCTAGTGCTTTTGTTGATTTACAAAATCTAGTGATGTTGTTGATTAACAGAATCTAGTGCTATTGTTGATTTACAGTATCTAGTGCTATTGTTGATTTGCAGAATCTAGTGCTATTGTTGACTATTGTTGATTTACAGAAACTAGTGCTATTGTTGATTTACAGAATCTAGTGCTATTGTTGATTTGCAGAATCCAGTGCTATTGTTGACTATTGTTGATTTACAGAATCTAGTGCTATTGTTGATTTACAGTATCTAGTGCTATTGTTGATTTACAGTATCTAGTGCTATTGTTGACTATTGTTGATTTACAGAATCTAGTGCTATTGTTGATTTACAGAATCTAGTGCTATTGTTGATTTACAGAATCTAGTGCTATTGGTGATTTACAGTATCTAGTGCTATTGTTGATTTACAGAATCTAGTGCTATTGTTGATTTGCAGAATCTAGTGCTATTGTTGACTATTGTTAATTTTCAGAATCTAGTGCTATTGTTGATTTACAGTATCTAGTGCTATTGTTGATTTACAGTATCTAGTACTATTGTTGATTTACAGTATCTAGTGCTATTGTTGATTTACAGTATCTAGTATCATTGTTGATTTACAGTATCTAGTACTATTGTTGATTTACAGTATCTAGTGCTATTGTTGATTTACAGTAAGCTTATTGTTCATGTTGTACAGAATGAAGTAAGATTATTGTTATTTTACAGAATCTAGTAATGTTGTTATTTTACAGAATCTAGTAATTTAAATGTTGTTGATGAACAAATCTAGTACTAAAGATTCCAGTTGACCAGACAATTATTTCTAACAGCCTGTATCAGACTAGATAACATTAATCAATATTATATGATGAGTTCTTAGTGTATTATATCAGTATTTTTCTAATGTAATCGATGATTATCTTATATTAACCGTATTGTCAGTAATGAAAACAAAATTCAGACCTTCATGAAAATAACAGTCAGAAAAAATGAAGCCAAGCATATTCAAGCTAAAATATTTTAGTTGAGCATAGGCATTTCTGATACAAAACTTAATTCAAAAATAATTCTCCTTGAATTGAAGCTCGTTGATGTAGCAATCAATGTGTAGCTTCTCTCATTATTTATTCCACCTAAAAATTATCTTGAGTCAAAAATTACCTCCTTGATACGCTGTGTATCAGGGACTATGAAAACATAAATTTGCACCATTCCAATTTTCAATCCGACGTCTGTGGCTCTTGCAATTCCACTAAAACTAAGCGTTTTATGACGTCCCTATCGCAAAAAGCCTTATATAATGATGGTTTAAGACGAAATACATGAACCACAAACGTCCGATTTTTAAATGAAATTGATGCTATCAGTGTCCTTGATTCACATAAAAAATCCTGAAAAACTCTTTACAAATATCCTTTATAATTCATTTTATTTAGTAATTTTTATTGAAATTCAGAAAACTGTATTATTACCCATAGTATAACAAAACCATTATTAAAATGTTTCTTTGTATGGTACATATTAGAATCCAGAATAATGAGTTGGAACCAAGCACATCCTTTAACAACGAAGAAATTTTCAAATCTTCACATGAAGGTCTAAGCACACAAAATGCTGATAAAATCTATTTGATCCATAAAAGGAGCACCTTCACTATTCATTCGACCAGAAACAGGAATTTTTTAGCTTACATAATCAGTATTAGTGTTCACAGCTCATCGTCGAAACTTGAGCCTTCAAATCCACATGTGTATACATAATTATTCACGTTTGAAAGTTAAAAATACGACTCGAATATTAGTGAGACTATGCCATATATAGAAAACACATATATAGAAAACACATATATAGGAATAGACAGTGGAATTTCTAGTTTGAGGTATATTTGAAGGAATTATGTGATTTTTCGTACTTCTTAAGACTATTAAAGCATAAAGACCCAAATCAATCCCTAATAATACCAACTATTCCCCTTTAAAAGTCAATTTCAAGTTACTGGTTTTAATATCACAAGAGCAGCAATATAATCTTTTCTTCCATTGATCACTAATCTATCTATCTACAGGTTTTGGTTGACACGTCCAGTCTTTTTAGTTAGTCTATAATAAATGTCAATATTGTGCGTAATTACTTCACTTTCTGATAATTTTGTTAAAAAAGATCCATTTTTGATTTTTTGCACTATTGATCTAAACTTTCACTATTCTGTATTGAACACAAATCTATAGGTTTTGGTTTGTGAAATCATTAATCCAAACAATCTGGTTTCCATTAGTGTTCTGAGTAGGAGTCATCTGTGTGTTGAGTGATGAGAATTACATAACTTTATTTGCTGAGTACAATAATCTATTTATTTTCATTTTTACACCATTAGCTTGATTTATAACATTCATTTAAAATTACTAAAACAATATTTTAAAATCCGCCTACAAAGTCACTGGTATTTATTTATCCTTATATTGGTTATTTTACTCATATACATGGACTAACTCTTCATCAACAATTGATATTTCACATGTTAAGGGAAATCTTGTTCCATTAAAACTAATCCTATCTGAAATATTGTGTAAATTTCTCTACGTATAGCGTCCTATTTAATTAATTGATGAAATAAAGTGTTCTGCTCGTTAAATAGATGCTAGTAATTTAAAGGGATTGTTAAGAACTTTTTCTAAATTTTTTTAATGCATCAATTTGTACCATTCCAATTTTCAATCAGACGTCTGTGGTTCCTGCAATTCCGCTAAGACCATGTGTTTGATGACGTCACTAATCACAAAATATGCTTTATCATATAAGGCCTTCACGATTAGTGACGTCATCAAACACTTAGTTTTAGTGAAATTGAAGAAATCACAGACATCTGATTGAAAATTGGTAGCAAATGGATGCTATCAGTGTCCCCGATACACATACAAATTTTAGAAAACCCCTTTACAATCTCTTTAACAATCAATAGAAGAAATAGAGTTTAAATTCTCCATTCTGTGATGGTTTTATAATATATATCAAGCTTGACTAGTAGACCACACTAATTGTGTTGAGTGCTGTCATTAAACACAATATCAATGAACATAAGAGTACATTGATTGTGGAAATTACTTGTGATCCAGAAAAAAGAAAAGGGTTCACTTATGGAAATTACTTGTGATTGCAATTGAGTTCACATTCGCTGTGGAAACTACTTGCGATTGCACTAAACATTAGAGTCCAAATGGGCTTGGCAAATTACTTGTGATTGCAATGAACATGAGAGTCCATATGGGTTGTGGAAATAAATTGTGGTTACAATAATTATGATAGTCCACATAGGCTGAGAAAATTACTTGTGATTTTGAAAATCATAATGGTCCACATGGGTTGGGCAAATTACTTGAACATAACTGACAAATAAAGCTGTGGTTGCTTTGGCTCAAAGAAAAGATAAACAAGAAAAGCGAAAACATATGGATTATTGATCATATCAATCGTTAATTTGTAATTAAGCTAATCAGTAATAGTGTTCACAGTTCACTATCAAAATTTGAGCCTTCAAATCCATGTGTGTTCAGAATTATCCGTATTTCAAAGTTATAACGACTTCTCTTGATACTTTGTGGTATATAGAAAAGACATAATTATATATAGAAATAGTGAGTAAAATTTCCTAGTTTGAGATATTTTTTAAGTAATTGTGCAATATTCATATTCATGACCTAAATCAACTCCTAAAAATTCTGAGCTTGTTCCTTTAAATTTCCCATCCCTCATATTTTCATAAATAATTCAAATTATAAGAACTTGAAATTTCAGTTTCTATCAAGGATACTTATATAATTGTCAAAAACTGATATCAATATGTATAGTAATGTCCTTAATGTTTCATAGTTTCCTCTTTATTATTTTCTATTAACACTGAAAACAATGTATTGACATAAAGTTAGGCTTAAAAAGATTACTTAGTGATACAATACAATAATGGCATGGATAACAGATATCATTATAATTAAAGTTACAAGTTCGCCAACCATTTGACCAATCACACCTTAATCTCATAAACAGGAACTGTTTTAGATAATGTTGCAAGCACAAGAACAGTCCTGGTCGGTGATTTCTGTGTTAAGAGTTTAACATGAGACAAAGACAAAGGCAAAGACAAAGGAGACAAAGAAATCACCAGTTGGTTGTTTTCCTCTATGTCCATAATCACGGGCGGATCATGCAATTGAAAGGAAAATGAAACTGATTGCAGACAATAGCACATTTGGCGATAAATATCAAAGTGGTTTGACATTATAAATCCTGTTAGCAATGCCAAAACGTTGGAGAAAATGATAATATACATGTATAGTAAAGATTCACTGAGGGGAAGACAGGGTAATGCAATCTATCAAGGATCCTGAAAAATAGATAGAAAAAGATCGAAAACCCCTGCCTTCGAAGGGTTTCCTTATTTATTTAGTGTCAAATTAAGCAAACTATTTGATTAATTGGTATTTCTAATGAATTATCATGTATTCTTAATCATATCATTATGTTTTTTATAGCTTTAACCAATCATAAATGTCCATGTATGTACAGTCTGGATAAATAAAAAACAAAAAAAGACTTTTTGACCATTCTTGATCGGTCACTCATTGGAATTCTCTTCTAATGTAGCAAGACATGTAAGACAAACTGGTATTTTTCCAAGTCATTAGAATACCTCAACTTTATATTCATATAAGTATTAATTAGCATTTTCATTTATCATTATTTGCTATACCAATATTTCTTGTTCTTCAAAGAACAGCACATATCTATAATTTCCATTAAGCTATATTACTACTCTAGATTGAAATTTTATAGTAGTTGAATAACAAATTGTTAAAAGCTATTTTCAAGAAAAGATCAATAGTAATATGTGTTGTATAATTCAAGCACATTCAATTTTTTCTTTTATAGGATTTTGGTCAAAAGAATGAGTAAGTGAATAAACTGTTTATTTCTATATTGGTAATGGGGGGAGCCGCGGTGGCTCAGTGAGTTAGACACTTGCTCGCTAACCTGAAGGTCCAGGGTTCAATCCCAGCATAGGTCAAGATAATACCTTCGGATTTTCCAACCCGGTTTCCCCCTGTCAGTGATGCAGGTAAGAGGGGCTGACATGGAATAAGCGTCTACTCGTTCGGACGGGACAATAAACCGAGGCCTCATGTGCTACAGGCTGTGCACGTTAAAGATCCCTCGACAGTTGGAAATCGAAAAAGAGCAGGCTAATGCTGAAGCGAAATTTCCTTCATTGCACCCTGCATGGCGTTGCCCGTCTTCATTAGCCCATATGGTGCAGAAAAGTAGGATGTAAAACTCCATTCATTTCATTTTCTACTGGTAATGGGAAAAAATGATTTTGTAATTTTATGATGCATTTAATTTTTCAGAATATATTCATTATAACTATTATTTTTTTTAATTATTCAGCAAAAAAGAGAATATTATGTATTATTAAGAACTCAAGATATATGGATATACTACTTCTATGTTTATTATATACCGGTACTACGTTTCGAAACACATACAGGTAATGTTATCAAGTAAATATTATATATATTAAATGTCTTACAAAGATATATTGTGTGTTATGCATTCATAATTTCCACTTCAGCCTTAGAGAGCACAATACATTTATATGCGTTAAATTGTGTGACCAATCATACTTTAGTCTCAGAAATAGGAATATTTTAGCTAAGTCAATCAGTAATAGTATTCACAACTCAGTATCCAAAAGTGTACCTTCAAATCAATGTTTGCAGAATTATCTGCATTCGAAAGCTAAAAATACAAGTTATCGTTTCTTGAGACACTGCCATATACAGAAAAGATATCTCTATAGAAATAGGAAAAGAAATTCCTCGTTTGAGATATTTTTTAAGGAATTATGTGATCTTCGTACTGTATTTCTAGTACTTCTGAAAACTATTTACATATATTCAAGTCTCGGTCACTTAAGTATTTGTAACTTATTAGTTGAAAAGGATACATGAAATTTATTAACGCAGAAGTACAGGATTTTTCAAAGATAATGTACAGGTTTCATTTTAGGAGAGGCAATATTGAATTATCGCAATTGGGAAAATTGAAAGCAGAAAATAATTTTGGACAGCCTTAATAGATATTTCGATACTATTCAAAACATAATTTATTTGGTATGATTCAGCAAATTTACCTAAATAGTAACAAAACCAAATTCAGCATGATTTAGCAACTCTTATATGCAAGCCCATTTGTTACGTTTTATGTTGTTTTTTTTGACAAAGCAGGATATGGTTTAAATCCTGGTTTATGTCCATATGAAATTATTTCATGTACGGTATAATGATTCAACAATATCCTCTAAATTGTGAAAGGTCATTTTCAATGTAAACAAATTCAATATACTAGTTTGTTTACATTTCTATTTAGTAGGATTGTTTACACCAGTTGACACATTAATGTTTTTGTGTTCATCTATCCTATATCTAATTATCATATCAAAAAAACTAATTTCGTTTCTTTTTGTTTTCTGATACAGTAGAATCTGTATTAAGAGACCACTCAAGGAATCGTCCAAAACGCTCTCTAAATGGAAGTGGTCTCTTAGAAGAGAATAAGGTCAGAATAAACACAACAACTCTTTTGTTTTGATGGCGATTTGATATACTTAATTAACAATTGAATCTGTGTCTAAATGTGGACTATAAATTGTGTTATAAACAACTTGGTAGAAATCTCCTTAGATAACAATGGAGACGGACAAAAATAAAAATAGTAACATAATAAAAATATAATCTAATCTATAAAGATCTGATCATCTAATGATATTTTACTGATTAATAAGTATAAATTGACTTGCATGCTTTTATCAATGATCAAAATTTATTACTTTATAAAACTTTTAAATCATTTATATTTTGAGACACATACAGCAATGTATTAAACATTACTTTATTAGTCAAACATTATCCAGTTTTATGGTGTTGAACATTTACATTAATTTCAAATTGTAAGGTTATTAAATTCAGAAGTTTAATCATTGTTCATGATACAAGATAGACAGTGTGTTTTACAGCTGGTTTTCAATGACATTGTTAACAACAGTGCAATTATAGTCTGAAATAGGGGAAGGGGTAGGAACTTAACTTATGAGGGTAGACATTCCCCCATCTAAAAGATTTTGAAAAGTATAATGCTAAAATTGTAATTTGGGTGTTTATGGAGTTTATGGGTTTAGGCTAATTACTCGCACCAGATATAAGTGTTGAACATTGAATATGTTAACTAAATAACAATGAGCTGAAAAAGTCAAATGTTACGCATAGTTATGTTTCGATGAATTATTCATTAATTAAAAAAAGATGTGTCAAAGTGACCCCATGTTACCTTATCATTTTATATAAATCTTATTAATAAGTTAGCTGTCAAATACAATAGTTGTAAAACATGCACTATTAATTATATCTAGTATGAATATCATGTTATATCATTCTATATAAATCTTATTAATAAGTTAGCTGTCAAATACAATAGTTGTAAAACAAGCACTATTAATAATATCTAGTATGAATATCATGTTATATCATTCTATATAAATCTTATTAATAAGTTAGCTGTCAAATACAATAGTTGTAAAACAAACACTATTAATAATATCTAGTATGAATATCATGTTATATCATTCTATATAAATCTTATTAATAAGTTAGCTGTCAAATACAATAGTTGTAAAACAGGCACTATTAATAATATCTAGTATGAATATCATGTTATATCATTTTATATAAATCTTATTAATAAGTTAGCTGTCAAATACAATAGTTGTAAAACATGCACTATTAATAATATCTAGTATGAATATCATGTTATATCATTCTATATAAATCTTATTAATAAGTTAGCTGTCAAATACAATAGTTGTAAAACAGGCACTATTAATAATATCTAGTATGAATATCATGTTATATCATTCTATATAAATCTTATTAATAAGTTAGCTGTCAAATACAATAGTTGTAAAACATGCACTATTAATAATATCTAGTATGAATATCATGTTATATCATTCTATATAAATCTTATTAATAAGTTAGCTGTCAAATACAATAGTTGTAAAACATGCACTATTAATTATATCTAGTATGAATATCATGTTATATCATTTTATATAAATCTTATTAATAAGTTAGCTGTCAAATACAATAGTTGTAAAACAGGCACTATTAATTATATCTAGTATGAATATCATGTTAGAATTATTAATTATTATGATAAATATTAGTATATAAGCTTATACATCAAATTTATAAAGCAATGTTAAAACTACAGTTCCTAATTAGATTGAATGAGAGTGTGAATTCTTAACACAATTGATCTTTCTTTTCAGGTGAGATGAACAATTATTGTTACAGAACATAATCAAATACTAGTTTATTGAACCTATTTTCAATATTCAATTTAATAGTTTTTCTTTATGACATTTCTTAAAGACAGGTTGATCTAGGGAACTTGCCTTTGTTGTTATTTTGTTTGGGGCATTACTTGTACAATTGTTATTTGATGACCTTCATATTTTCAGGGTTGGACATCGAAATCTTGAAGTATATCTGTCAGAATTTTGAAAGAGATCAGTTTACCAACAGTTGAGGTACTACCTGTTGATGTTGGCATATTTTTTTTTTTTGGGACACCCCATATATGGGATTGAATAAAATAAACTTTCAAGTCCTAAATTTAGGCAATCCAATAACTAATGACTGCCATAGTGCCAAACAAATATATAAGATTAATTTAATCCTATCTATATACAGATTTAAAGGGTCAATTCCTCAAATTTCTCTTTAGGTGACTTTTGCCATACATCATCTTATGAAAATCTTCTCAAAACTTCTCCCAATATTTACATTTCTACTATCACTCTTATCAATGAACCTGTTATGCAAAATGGCGTTTATATTTCGATAAACTGTAGTTTGTCACTATGATGTCCTCAAAGCACAACATTGACACAATCAAAGTGAAAATTGTGTCATTTATTCAGTTTGTCACGTGATCAATTGTGTTTACACATCAATAATGCTAATGAGACTATTGTCAAATTCTTCAATAAATTTTCCAGAATTTCACGTATGTAGGAATTAGGACATTTTATTGGTTGAATATATTTATGACCTTGAACACGATTCGTCTATCAGAATTTCTATGAGATCGCAGATGCCAAGATGAGTAACCCATGGTAAAAACACAAAACATTAAGATCAGACTGAAATTACGAGAGTAACTGATTTTTAAGTCCAATTTGAATGCTGTAAATCTGTAGATCAATGGAGGTTTCTTGGTACAGTGTCAAAATCTATAACAAGACGGTCACGAAAGTTGTGTATGTTTATTTCCAAGCAGTAATCTTTTAACATTAACTAACATCTGAACTTACCTAAGTGATTGCCATTAATATAAACATTAGGCACTGTTTTTTGACCGGAAATTTGAAGTAAAGTATTCTGGAGATCATCTGTGTTTTCTAAAATGGAGAAAAAAATCAAAATTTTAATTTTTGCTATTCAAAATGCCAATTGTTTTCACTTAATGTGTGGAAGAGTTCAATAGAAAGTGGAGGGATGTTAAAGGGACAGATGTGCCATTTTTTTGACTAATCATACCTTAGTGAATTTATCTATTTTTTAGTTAAGCTAATCAGTAATAGTGTTCACAGCTCACCTGAGCTTTCAAAATTCTTCTTTTTATGAGACACTGCCATATAGCAAATAGAAAACTTCCTAGTTTGAGATATCTTTTTGAAGGAACTATGAGATTGTTGTAAATTTCTAGTACTTCTAAAGACTATTTACATTATATCAAAGACCCAAATAACCCCACCCCTCCCTCCCCCCAAAAGGGTGCACCTGACCCTTTAAGTGCATGTCAGGCACACTATAGATCCAGTCTTGCTAATGCTACTCTACCAATTCTTACATACTGTCCGAACTTTTTAAAATGCTCTGAAATTACTGATGATGTCATGATATCAGTAGCATCTGTTTGAGAGATGACAAATTACCATCCCTTGATTTTAATTACATTGTGAATGAACCAGAAGTACGATTCTAAATATGATAAAGCATGTAGAGTAAAAAATTATAATTGTAAAGTCTAGTTAATGTTCTGAACTATAAAATATCATGTAATAAATACCTTCTTTATCTAGTTCGAATGATTTATATTCAACATTTAAACTTTTAAATAAATCTTTCACCTGAAATACACAAAATAGTATAGAAACAACAGTAGAACAACTATCACAGAACTTCTCAAATGGGGAGGTTTTCCTTGAAAGACCACAGGGTCATGGGAAGGAATATTGCCTTGGGGGAAATAGGATTGAATTGACGTACTGGGAAGAAAATAGGAGGCAGGGTGATCTATGACTGAAATTTACATCATCCACCCTGAACATACAGAAAATCGTGAAGGAAGTTCGGCCCAAGGGTCACATTGAACTATCTTGATGTTTTTGCTCAAAATAGTGACGATAGCTTGCCAGGCAAGGTAATATACGCCCACCGGCAGCTTTGATTTTGAATAAAAATATTTAGCAGTACAGTAACAATTACCAGTATGAAATACTCAACCTGAATAATATTGTTCAATTTTTAGTTCTTGAGTTCAGCGCGGGACTGAATAATAAAACCAAGTTTTGTCAAAATCCAGCAAGAATCATGACGACAATATACACCCCCCATTCCTTAATCTAAGCCTATCTGAAAGTTTTAATAAAAAAATTTCCAGCTGTTAATTTTTAATGCCAAAAACTACCATATTTAACATTTTACAAAAAAGCGGAATCCACCTTTAAATGATAAAAATTTGAACATGGGAGTGCCAATGACGGGCCAACCTTTCAAAATAAAATGAATGGAGTTTTACATACTTTTCTGCATCATGTGGGCTAATGAAGAACGGCAACGCCAGCCATGTAGGGTGGGGGAAATTTAGCCAGAACAGCAGCATTAGCCTGCTCTTTTCAATTTCAAACTATCGCGGGGCCTCAGTTTATTGTCCCATTCGACATTCGAACGACTAGATGCTTTTTCCATGTCAGCCCCTCTTACCTGCATCACTGAACCCTGGACCTTCAGGTTAGTGAGCAAGCGTCTAACTCAATGAGGCATACATACTTTTAAAGAAAATATGTGTGTCTTACTGTCTTACCTTTGTACAAAATGGACAGTATGATTTACTGAATACCATGACTTTATTAAGCTTGATGTAATTTTGTATCAAAGCATTTAAATCTTTGATAGGTGGCATCTTGGCTGCTACCTCCTTTATAGGAGAACCTCCTCTCTTAATCTTGACACTTCTATAAATACTAGCAATCTAAAATCTGTAGAAAAAAAAAAGAAAATACTGTGAAAGCTGAATAACCGTACCCAATCATCTCAATCATTAAATATTTGTGAAATAATCTATAGATCACAAAAAAGTTTGAAGTTTTAAATCTATTTTCATGTGTATCAGTATCAGGGACACTGTGGCATTCACCATTCCAATTTTTAGTCAAATGTCTGTGTTTCTTATTTCACTAAAAAAACATTTTAATGTTAATTTAAGTTTAGCTATTACAATGTTCCTTGGTATATCATCAGCCGTTTTTCGATGGTGATGTCATAAGCAATTCCATAATAACAAGAACTACAGACATCTGAAGAAAATCAGAATGGTGAAAATGGATACTATCAGTGTCGCAAATAAACAGAAAAACAAAGTTTAGAAAATCCTTTCTTTACAATCACTCTTACTTGACTGAAACCAGACCTAATGGTTCAGATTATTAGATTTATTAAAAGCTTACACTAATCTATGCCTGCAATATATAGCCTATTGTATTACATCTATCTATTAAGTACAAGGATAGGCTAATAAAACTCACTCAGATTTGATTGTCAAAAAAGAAATCCTCCTTAAATTTTCATGTCTGTTTTGAATTTGATATTTATAGTCAAATGCTATGACTCGGCAAAACTTATAATTAAATCGAAGGCTGATGTCATTTTTAAATTCCCAAACCGATTTTTAATCTAATAGGCCAAATATGAACATTCATAAATCCATAAAGGTGTCAAACTATCATCATCACTTACAAATATCACTATCGCCCTAACTATCGGATATTTCGGACTTTTACCATAAAAAAAGAAGTTAAAAAACAGTTGAAAGCAGGTCTATTTTAATTCGGTTGTCTTGATGGTTTTTAAACAGAAGTCAATTAATGAATAGAATATTCCAGGCTTAATCGTAATCGTATTCAAACAAAACGTACCTGTAACAATTTAGATTTCACCGAGACAAGGTACATTCCTTCAATGAAGACTGGCGGAGGAGGGAAATCCTTTAGTTATCAAACCACGTGGTATTTTACGTAATATTAAAACTGCTATTTCATGTAATGGATAGGGCAATATGCCGAAATGTCGATTAATTTGAGGCTTTATATAACGCAATGGAAAAGACGGTGGTGATCATTAAAAAAGTAATATGAAATTTGAAAAGTTACAAATTCTTATACTTGAGCACACATGATGTTATCAAAGAGTAGGATTTTAACCTTTGAGCCTATCAAATATCATGAAATTAGAATGAGAGGTCACCTCAGAGTCTAGGAGAAAATAGACATCACATAATTGATATTTTGTGATCTATATGCGGCGATTATCGCTTTTTCTTATTGAAATCTGGATAAATAAACCAAGTACTAACGATCAAAACGCAAAACGAAACCCGAAATACAAATAACTGACAAAACATTTGTAGCAGCTAATGAACTTTTGATTAGGAAGTGTATCAACCATAAGTGAGTTAACTGTATTTTGTTATGAAAATTGGTACCAGGATATGATTTAGCAGGTTAGCTTTCTTTATTTTTATGAACATATTTATTCAGAGGCAGTTGGCAAATTAGCGACGCCGTAAAATTGTAATCCGAATAGTGCGAATGTACAAATATAATTTTAACTTCCGGTAAAAAGTCGAGAACGGAAAAAGTAAACAAAAAAGACTAACCATCACTCAGCCCTATGAATTATTGAATGAATGGCTACAGAGTGTACTGAATTTATAAAGAGGTATACGAATTATACTAAAGTTATCTATCTGCTTTCTTTTCTAAGATGTGAATAAGCTTGGCCAAGATTCCAAGAAAAGAAGTGGCGCCAAATTCGATCTGTTTCAATTTCGGTTGTTTCCTCAATTTTATTCATTCTCTTTTGACGTTTACTATTTAGATAAATAATGGAATAACTAGCCTATTTGAATTAATTTTTTAAAAAAATCCCTTGTTATCAAGCTTTGAATCCTCACAATGATCATTTATCATCATGTGCATCTTCACAATGTTGTTAGGCTATTTACAAACTGTAGGCCAACTAATTCTAAACTAGGTATAGCCTACCTTGACTGCATTAGCCACCTATCTATGATTGGCTGTTTTCGATAGTTACAAATACAAGGAGTGATACAATAATTGTAGGTTTGGAATTAAAGAATTAGACACACTTTCACAGTGGGCTCAGAACTGGATATTTCTAAACTCCCAAATACCCTTTTTTCAATTAGGGTATTTTCTTCAACACTACCAACATCACAAAGATAAAATATTTTATGGTTCATACAAAAATGATTGGTATCTATATATAAACACAGCTTAATGGAACAACAATTACTGGTTAAAGTTTTATGCAACGTTTTGACGTGTTTCCCGTCGTATTAAGGCACATAATGATAAGAAGTGATAGGCAAACTATATACAGTACCCATCACTTATTATCATAATGATCTTGAGGATGATGGGGGAAACGTTGCTTATAAACTTTAACCAGTGATTGTTGTTCCATAAAGCTGTGTCTATATATTGTATTCAATAAATGCCATTCAAAGACTTGAATGGTACCTAGTTAAAACGGTAACAAATCAAAATTGTGACAAATCTTAATAGTCCAAACAGTAATAGATTAACCAAATTGTAACGCAAATTTGGTTAAAATGGTAACAAATCTGCCAAAATGTTCCTTTATTAGAGTTGGAGACACTAAAATTTGGAAACATTTTGTTTTGGTTTGTTACTGTTCTGAATGGCATTCAAAATGCAATTCTGTAAGCAAAATAATCCGAAATTTTACATTTGTTGAAAAAGAGGAAAGGTTTTATTTTTAATGTTGATTATTATAGTCTAAAACTATAAGAAATACATTTTTCCAGCCAAGTTGATTTGTCGTGATGAGATTGAGAATATTGGTATATTGGACAGAGTCGGCTACTTAATACTATGAAATGGAGAATATCAAACCTGCATGTTTTGGACAGGTAGGCTTAGATAATGTCTCTGATATTCTGATTTTCATCGACATGGTTGTCATTAAGTCATTGAAAGTTGCCGATTGATTTAAAAAGCCAGCCATGTGTTGTTTTTTTTTTGATTAAAGAAATATAATTTTACGTTTATTGTTGACTGTTGATTACATTATAATTACCTGTGCACATCAAAAAAATCATAATTAACAAAACAATTGTAAAATTAATTTACAAATCCTTTATAATTGGTTATACCAATTCAGATTTTGATTAACCGGTGTTTATTATTTTTTCCAATTGCCCATCACTAAAAAAAAAATTTATGCTTATTCTGTATGTGTCACAGTTCAAAGAAGATTTATTTAGTTGTTCAATGCATTATAGTCTGGCAAAGATGATTTGTACCAAGTACAGGCCACTTATTCTCGAAACGATCTTAGTGCTACCCCTGAATATCCTGGAAGCAGTGTTAGAAATTAAGGCCCTAGGATATCTTGAGGCTAAGGAAAGAGATTGTAACGAGGTTTTCTTCATTATTTTTGTGTATCGGGGACACTGACAGCATAAATTTGCACCATTCTAATTTTCAATTAGATGTCTGTGGTTCCTACAATTCCATCAAAACTATGTGTTTGATGACATCACTAATTGGGAAGTGCTTTATGTGATACAAGCACGTTTTGGGATAAGTGACTGATTGAACACTTAGTTTATACAAGAATGATCTATTTTGTTTTGATAATAGATAGTAATTCCATTCGTACAAATTCTAATATTGTATATTTGTGGTAGGCTTAATCCAAAATTTAGACCAGTAATTCTAGTATATATTTCTTCTTTTTGTCTCTTTTCAGTCAGTATTTACTGATGAAGAGCATGAAGCCATACAAGAATGTCTACGTCAAAGATTAGGACCTAAATTTATCAGTCAAAGAACTGGACCAGGGGGATCAAAGGTAATGTGGTTTTGAAAGTGACGCTTGCAAACCCTAATCTGTGATTGATATATTGTCAGGTAGCTCAGATATTAAGTTGCTAAACACTATAAAGACAGCCTGTAGCTCAGTTCATTAGAGTGTTAGAATCTTGATGTCATTTGATTGATTGCATCAGACAAATGGTGCTTATGTATCCTTTGTCAGTATTTGAAGGCTGGGATCTTTTATAACCCATCTTTTATTTTTCCAATCAACATTTAAAGATCAATGCCAAGAGTTTTGGCTGAGTACCAGCTGGTAGACATGATCCTCCCGTACTGAAGCCCTCATTGCAGACCTTGGACAGTGCTTCTATAGGAGAGTATCTTCTGTAACACCCAACACTAAAGTAGCATAGCTCAATATGGTGCAGAACTATCAAACTTATTTCATTTTGATAATAGACTGTTTATATTTACGATAGCTGGCCTATATTGAAGGATGGAAGTTGATTAATCTAGCTAATGAGACGTTTGGTTTTAATGGTTGGTCCCACTCTGTCACTAATCAAACTGTTGGTAAGTATATTACCAAGTATGGGTATTCTAAATCCCAAATTTGAATACGTTTTCTTATGTTTAAACACATTAAAGGGACATGTACGTATCTTTTTGGCCATTCCTACTTCAGTCTAAGATACAAGAATTTTTTAGCCAATCAGTAATAGTGTTCACAGCTCACTGTCGAAATTTGAGCCTTCAAATTCATGTGTGTCCAGAATTATCTACGTTTGAAAGTTAAAAAGAAGACTCGCCTTTTCTTGAGACTCTGTCATATATAGAAAAGATATATATATAAATAGAAAATGAAATTCCTAGTTGGAGGTGTTTTTGAAAAAATTATGCGATTTTTGTCTAATATTTCTGAAGACTATTTACATATAGTCCAACACCGAAAAATGGCGCATCTGTCCCTTTAACCTGTATCTTTGTAGAGAAACTTGATGTCTTCTTATTCTAAAGGTTTAAAAAAATATCAAAAGAAATTTTAACTTCCATTTTTAACAGTCAGCACTGTTTTGTGTGTCCAGAATTATCTGTTTAAAGAAAAGACCTATAGAAATAGAAAGTGAGATGCCACTTTTGAAATATTTTTGTAGGAATCCTGTGATTTTCGTATATTTCTAGTACTTCTGAAGTCTACTTACATATATTCAAGACTAAAATCAACGTCTGAAAATGGCAAAACTGTCCCTTTAAAGAACACTGGCCTCAGTTTCAGTTTATTTCAAGGTTCAGAATATTTAGGTAGCTATTCCTTTTGACCTAAGGTTTGTACACGACTGATATTATATTAACTCTAACTGTTAATTATAGATTTTGTAGATCATATTAATGATCGATATTATGTGGGTGTTAGTGCGTTAATGAAAGTACAGTTAAAAGACGGTGTTTATCATGAAGATATAGGCTATGGTGTTAGTGAAGGATTGAGATCCAAAGCATTGTCTATTGAGAAGGCTAGAAAAGAGGCTGCCACTGATGGCTTGAAAAGGGCTTTGAAGTAAGTGTTTAGCAGAAATAAGGAGGTGATTTTCAAATCCTTACCATCCAAACTGCCTCAATCACCTTTACCAAAAAATGAAAAATTGCTCTAAATTTGTGTTATTAAATTTAAGGATCACAGATTTTATTCCACCAAAGAAAACTATTCAATTAAAATAAGATTTTGCCTATCTTGATATCCTAAAAATTCAAAATTAATCTGTACTGAAGGCATCTGACTATTGATGTCTTATTATGCTTCAAGCTGAATGTTTTTGTAGAAAAATGGTGGCTGTGCTATGTGATAGTCTTATGACCTTGAATAAGTCATCTTCACTATAATTCCAGACAACCCAGCTTTAAATGGGTACGGATAATTCGGGAAAGATAAATGCCAACAGGTTTGGCTTAGGACCCGCTGGTAGAAAGGATCCTTAACTGTGAACCTAAGTTGTTTTCCCTGTAAAATATAGTTGTTTCTTTTTTTGTTATACATAATAACATATTATAACCTAAATTACCTCTTAATTACCATAAACTAATTAAATTTTAGATTTTTTGTGACTTATATCTGTATATGATAAATTATTTTTTGAACCGTCCTGCACAAAACCTGATATTTTTTTTTCTTTACTAGAAATTTTGGAAATGCTATGGGTAATTGTTTAGGAGATAAAGATTATTTAAAATGTTTAGTGAAGGCACCAAAACCAGTAAGTATGATATGTTGAACCAGTAAGTATGATATGTGTTGAAACCAGTTAGTATGATATGTTGAACCAGTAAGTATGATATGTTGAAACCAGTAAGTATGATGTGTTGAAACTAGTAAGTATGATGTTGTGAAACCAGTAAGTATGCTGTTTTGAAACCAGTGATTATGATATGTTGAAACCAGTAAGTATGATATGTTGAAACCAGTAAGTGTGATATGTTGAAACTAGTAAGTATGATATGTTGAAACCAGTAATAATGATATGTTGAAACCAGTAAGTATGATATACCAGTAAGTATATGTTGAACCAGTAAGTATGATATGTTGAAACCAGTAAGTGTGATATATTGAAACCAGTAAGTATGATATGTTGAAACCAGTAATTATGATATGTTGAAACCAGTAAGTATGATATACCAGTAAGTATGTGTTGAACCAGTAAGTATGATATGTTGAAACCAGTAAGTATGATATGTTAAAACCAGTAAGTATGATGCGGTGAAACCAGTAAGTATGATATGTTGAACCAATAAGTATCATATGCTTAAACCAGTAAGTATGATATGTTGAACCAGTAAGTATGATATGTTGAAACCGTTATGTATGATATGTATTGAAACCAGTAAGTATGATATGTTGAACCAGTAAGTATGATATGTGTTGAAACCAGTAAGTGTGATATGTGTTAAAACCAGTATGATATGATATGTTGTAATAGCTAATTTTTTTAGCCTCCTGAAGTATGTAACCTAGCAGATTTGAAATCAAGTATGGTGAATACACGTGTTTCAAACTCAAGAAAAAATAGCCATTATAATCCATCAGTTACCATAATGGTATCAGAACCAGTCGAACATACAGATAAACCAAATCCTTCAGCATCCCACCCTTCATCACATACTCGATCTCATAAATCAAGTTCACCCGTACCAGAAGATAATGATAGAAAGAAAACAGACACAGAAACAAGTTCATCATTTCGTCCAACTTCATCAATAACTCGATCTCATAAATCAAGTTCACCTGCACCAGAAGTTCATGATAGAAAGATTACAAAACAACACACAGAAACAAGTTCAACTAAATCACATCATTCCACTACCATAGCAACATGTAACACCTCTAATCCATCACATCTCTCAGTTAAAGACCAGCCTTGTCCTATTGGGTAAGTTGAAAATGAAAATACTAATACTTATATGAATAGAAAGAAGAGGTGTCTCTTTGACTTGGAAAAATACCAATTTGTCTCATGTCCATAATTAATTCATAATTAGCTAAATTAGAAGAGAATTACCAGCAGAATTTCAATGAGTGACCGATCAAGAAAGGTCAAAAAGTCTTTTTTTGTTTATCCAGACTGTATACATGTACATTAATGATTGGTTTAAACCAGGCCTGTGCCTGCGGGCCAACTGCGGAGATTATTTTGTGCGGCTGTACTAGCTGACATTGTACAGATAACCCATGTTTATCAAAACAAGCAAATGTGGAGGTCACGCAAGGTCGCACATGTAGATTATTAATTTTTTCCGGGGATGCACGAAAAATAGGTTAACACGAAATTAGGTTACTTGACTGTATGATGCTTTTAACATCTTGATATTTGTTATTTTAAATATTAGGTCTCCATCAAGTTCTGAAGAAGAACAGAAGAGATTAGAAAGAATACAACGTCAGAAAGAAAAACAACTGAAATATCAAGAATTACGAAAGAGAGCTAGTAGTAGTAATACAACTCAAGATAATATAGAATCAACTAAACTTGGTTAGTGACTTTATCGGTATATGAACATATAGTTTATAGTCTACCAAATATTTGCTTTACTAGCTCGAAAAAAGGCATCCGTTAGTAATGACACTAGCTCTCTAACCTGAAGGTCCAGGGTTCATTCCCTACCTTCCCCTGTCAGTGATGCAGGTAAGAGAGGCTGACATGGAAAAAGCGTCTAGTCGTTCGGATGGGACAATAAACCAAGGCCCCGTGTGCTACAGACTGTACACATTAAAGTTCCCTTGAAAGTTAGAAATGGAACAAAGAGAAGGCTAATGCCACTGTCCTGGCAATTTTCTCTCATTGCAGCCTCCATGGATGTAAAACTCATTTCATTTAAAATCAGGCATCCTGTGCATCTACAATTCAAGTACTGTGGCATTTCCAAGCTGTAAGAACCTGCTTGTAGATATTGTCAAAGAAAGAGGCTACCACTTTTTTAGAAGATCCTTTCTACCAGCTGGTCGTTGACATTGATCTCTTCCCAGTTACTCATTCTCTTTTACATCTGGGTCCACTGGAATTATGACTTATTCAAGGTTACTGGATTTTCACAAGCAAACTGAGAATACAACCTTTGACCACCATTTGTTCTACGATGCAAATGGCATCACTTTTATGACAATATTAAAATTATTGGATTTTTGTAGAAACTCGACAAGGATTTGTTCTTTAACCATGTTTTGTGAGGTTCTATAGCACAGTTGGTTAGTCCATTGGTTCTTTATATGACGTCATTTCCTTGGTAAAGTCGAGCAAATGGGGGCTGTGGGTTCCTATCTCGATCGGCGTGTGATAGTCTGATTACTATATAAGTCATCTTCACTCATAATTCCAGTTGACCAAGCTGTAAATGGGTACTGATAATCCAGGAAAGATCAATGCCAAGAGGTTTGGCCAAGGACCAGCTGGTAGAAAGGATCCTTAACTGTGAACCTAAGTTGTTATCCTTGTAAAATATAGTTTGTTTTTTTTGTGGTTTTTTTTTTCTAGTTTAACTCATTTTACTTTTAACTTTTTGTTCCTTTAGAGATTATTTTCTTAGATATTAATGATTTGGTTTAGATATTCTTGTTATATCATATTTAACTGTTTTTACAGGGTTACCAATAGCAACATCCACGCCATTTGTAAGTGGTAGAACTAGTCCAACGTTTCCTCTACGTGAAACAAACAATCAATATCCCCCAGTCTCCAGTGATGCTGAAAATGGTGGCTCATTTCTTCATCCTAAACAATTATCTAAAAGAGATGAACCTCAGGATACTGTACAGTTAGTTGATGCCGATAATTTTGGTATGGATGTTAAATGATGTCTTATTACAGGTCTCTGGGCATTGGACACATCATGGTCAGCAAGGGCAAGGCTGTTTTGACTGGAAGATTAATGCAAGAGTGAAAAGAATCATCTCAAAAATTAGAAGATGCTACTTTTGAATTGATTTTTATGCATTTTTATACGCCCACATCTCTTTATGTGGACGTATATTGTCGGCACCCCTGTCCGTCCGTCCGTCAACATTTACATGTAAACGCTCTAAAAACTAGATTTTTTGATGGAATCAATATGTGTATACATATTCATAAAACGAAGATCAAGTTCAAATTTGAGCTATTTTCGACCGTTAGAAGCAGAGTTATTGACCTTGCCCCAAAATCTTGAATATTTACCATCCGCATGCCGTGGTGGGCGTATATGAAATAGAGTTTGTCAATTGATCTTTTACCTGTAAGCTTACAGTCTGTAGCTTATAGGGACTTATCCAGGTTTTTTCTACCACCTGTGTCCCCTGATGTAAATAATAGATTGATAGTCTGGCCAGGATATGGTTAATCTCCTATCTCTGTGAATATTGTAGAAGATGAAATATGGAGTCAAGCAGACTATATGATGGAGGAGAATATTGGTGGTTATGACAGTGAGAATGGTAGACATCATGGAGGAAAGAATCGTAGTAAACCACGTACTAGAGCTCCTACAGGTCAGTTAGCTAGGTATTTTATATGGCCAATCTGTGTAAAATACAGTTCTAAATATTCATTTAGTATATTTTCTGTTGATACTCAAACACTGTGATGTTCAATATTAGATTATCGTTGAAATTTGAACCTTCAAATCCATGTGTCCAGACTACATATATTCAAGACTCAAATCAACCCTCCAAAATGGCGCATCTGTCCCTTAAATTAGTCTAATATAGATGTTTCAAGATAAACTTTGTTTAATGTTTCAGGTTCAGGAGATTTACTGTTGAAGAGAAGAAAGCTGTCTGGTCCTATACACAGATAAGATTGTTCTCATTCATTTTATTTATTACCTCCCTTTGTCCAAAATGTGAACGTGTCTGAAGTCAATATCATTATTGACATTAGAAGAGCAGTCGACGTGACTATGGGCCGCACGTTCTGCACGTTCAGAATTTTTGGAATCAACATTCAATAAAACAAGTTGGAACAGAGTTCAGAAGGAAATCCATGTGTGTCGAACAAATAATAGATGGACAGAATTCAAAATAGTGGAGAAGGAAATTTTGAATGTGACATTTGATGAAGGGCAGAATTTGAACAGATGGAACCTGTTCAGAACTCTACAATTAGGCGCTACCTATGTTCAAAGGAATGCAAAAGTTGGTGCTTATATGCCTCATAATTTTTTTTGCATGCTACTACTTTATCTACCTCAAAATTTCAGTACTAAGTTCTAAACTGCATGTGGAGAAACATCTTTGTCACTTCAGCTAGATCTCCTTGAAAAAATTTCTTGGAATTATCATTATACCATGTTAGTACATATAAGGATCTGTGGAAAGGTCATGGTCAGCAAACTGACTTATTTCAGTCTAAGTTCCTACTAAAGTTAGACAAGTAATACTTGTTCTAATATCTACACTTAGAGACACAAGATCACACAGCGTGAAATGTTGAATAACAACATGTTTCAGGTTCTGTTTTAATTTCCCCCTTNGGCATAATTTCTCCCCATTTCCCTTCTTGGCAATAATTCCTCCCCATTTCCCCCTTGGCAATAATTCTTCCCCTTTTTCCCCCCTTGGCAATAATTCCTCCCCATTTCCCCCTTGACAATAATTCTTCCCCTTTTCCCCCCCTTGGCAATAATTTTTCCCCATTCCCCCCTTGGCAATAATTCCTCTCCATTTCCCCCCTTGGCAATAATTCCTCCCAATTTCCCCCCTTGGCAATAATTCCTCCCCATTTCCCCCCTTGGCAATAATTCCTCTCCATTTCCCCCCTTGGCAATAATTCCTCACCATTTCCCCCCTTGGAAAAAATTCCTCCACATTTCTCCGCTTGGCAATAATTCTTCCCCATTTCCCCCTTGGCAATAATTCCTCCACATTTCTCCCATTGGCAATAATTCCTCCCCCATTCCCCCCAATGGCAATAATACCTCCACATATCCCCCATCGGCAATAGTTCCTCCCCATTTCCCCCTTGGCAATTATTCCTCCTCATTATCCCCCTTGGCAAAAATTCTCTCCATTTCCCCCCTTGGCAATAATTCCTCCCAATTTCCCCCCTTGGCAAAAATTCTCCCCATTTCCCCCCTTGGCATGAATTCTCCCCATGGTCTTCTGATTTCTCCCCTGTTAAGAAGCACTGTCATAATACATAAAATACATAATGGAAATAGAAACTATAAGTGTTTATTATTCTCATATTAAGGCTAGAAAACCTATATAAGAATCCCTTCAATACTTTTGATATAACTTGAATGCATTTTGTTGATAATAATTGTCATTATTTATATTGTTGAATGTAAATTATTAAATTTTTGAGAAAAGTTTTGTTTTCATTATTTCATGCAGTCATTGACCTGGTAATCTAATTTAATCATTATGTGAAACAATAGTTTTAAGGCATATGTCTTAAAAGCGCATGTATTTAAAAAGTTTACTTTTTGTTAAGTTTGTTGGAAGCTGTTAGAAAAGTACTGTACGGATCTAAGTAAAGCAAACCCCTAGTTGTAGAGAAATATATATCTATGTATTCTAAAGGTTTCAACTGATAAAATCAAGCCATTATAAAACCAAAGACCAGAACTAGGTCACACTGCTTAAGTAACAATTAGTACTCACAATTTTTTAATTAACCCTTTTAAAACAAATTCAGTTTGATCAAGAAGATACATAGATATAAATAACATACTTTAGAAATATTTTCAGGTATAATTTACAATGTTTTTGATTATCCAGATTTTATACAAAAATAGGGAATGCCCCTTTAAACAAGTATGTCATATGAAATTATGAACTGAACTGGATTTGATATTAAATACAGCAACAAATTTCATAAATTTCATATTCCATAAGCAAGAGTGAAAGATTCTATTTATTACACCACTATCAATATTTGCATATTTTCCTGAAAGATGGGTTCCCTTATTTTCATTTATGAAAATTAAAATGCTAATACTTATATGAATAGAAGTAGAGGTGTTCTGATGACTTGCAAAAATACCAGTTTGTCTCACATGTCCATAATTAATTCATAATTAGCTAAATTAGAAGAGAATTACCAGCAGAATTCCAATGAGTGACCGATCAAGAAAGGTTAAAAAGTCTTTTTTTGGTTATCCAGACTGTTCATACATCATTTATTGGTTAAAACTCTTATTTATATACAATAAGAACATAATGATATGATAAAGAATACATAAAAACTAATAAGAAATACTAATCAGTCAAAAAGTTTGCCTAATTTGACACTAAAAAATAAGGAAACCCATCTTTAAATTCCATGCACCATTTCTTTATAGGAGTCAATTGCCTTCATTTCCAAATCAGATAACTAAATTAAAGCTTTTAATCAAAGTTATAATACTTAGAACAATAATTTTTTGACAGTTGCATGCCCTTCAACACTCTTAACTGAGTTGATAACTTCAAAGGTTACCATGTTGTATTGTTAACATAGGTGGTGCTTGACTGTGACCTAAATAATTTGCATAAATCTGTGCTATGAGTTCTTGCTTTCAAGAACATAGAAACAGTACTGTTGCATGATCAAAGAAATTCCTTTATACACATACAATCATACATCATTTTTTTTCACCCCTGTCCAAAGTTTTTCTCAAATTTTTCAATTACTTATGAGCAATTATACACTTAAATTTTGGAAATGTTTGAATTTTTGCCTTTTGGATTTTTTGATTCTTTTTTGAAATAAACTTGAAGTTGGATCCCATTTTCAAGAGTTTATCTTAAATTGACAAATGATTGGGTCTATTTTCTATGAGGCAATCCATCTTGAATAATATACTCATATAAATAATGAAGTTATTAAATGATAAGGTTATATTGTTTTTCAATCGTATAATTACTTTTCAATCTTCAATTACATACCCAATTACTTTAATGATAAGTACAATTACAGTGCCAGTTATTTTTAGATTAGTATTTTCTTCCAAGTTAATAACAAGTGGTTTATTGCACAAACTATGTCTTTAATGTAATTTCCTTAAGGTAGTTTATTTCTCTAACCCATTGACGAGCTGGCTTATGCTGCCAACATGTGTTTTAGATACACAATCCCCTGGTGAAAAAGGGGTATTCTTTCCAAATTAGACTTTCAAACTTGTTGATCAGGAGCAAGTCAATTATTCTACTGTACATATACTTTGCATGGACAAGGGCTAGAGTGTCACTAAATAGCTGTTCTCACTATTAAGCTGCTGTTGGCTTATTTAGAGTGACTGTACTCGCTATACCCCACTGTTGGCTAATTTGGCTGCTTTCACTACAAACGCAATGCCTCATTTAGAGTGGCTGTTACTGGAAACAATATAAACCTGCTGTTGGCTATTTTAGAAAGGCTGTTATCACTATAAACCCAATGTTTTTGTCTAATTTAGAGTGACTGTTATCACTATACACTGTTGTTGTCTAATTTAGAGTGACTGGTATCACTATACACTGTTGTTGTCTAATTTACAGTGACTGGTATCACTATAAACCCAATCTTGTCTAATTTAGAGTGACTGTTATCACTATACACTGTTGTTGTCTAATTTAGAGTGACTGGTATCACTATTAACCCAATCTTGTCTAATTTAGAGTGACTGTTATCACTATACACTGTTGTTGTCTAATTTAGAGTGACTGTTATCACTATACACTGTTGTTGTCTAATTTAAAGTATTTATTGTCACTATACGTTACTGTCTAATTTAGAATGTCTGTTATCACTATACACTGTTGTTGTCTAATTTAGAGTGATTATTGTCGCTATACGCTACAGATGACTAGTGTCACTGTAAATCTGTTGTTTTGACTAATTTAGAGTAGCTTTTCTCACTATAGACCTGCTGGTAACTAATTTATGGTGGTCTGTGTCACTATAAACCTGCTGTTGGCTAATTAACAGTGACTGATGTTTTGCTGTGGCTGCAAGGTTCAAATTGGTTTGAAAAATTTGAATAGCAATTTTTGACTACAAATTTCACTTTTGGCTAATCAAGTTAATTTTTGATTCACATTTCATAATAACATACTGCATGCTGATTTGTAGTGACTGATGTCGCTATATAGTGTAATTTAACTAATTTAGACTGTCTAGTATCACTATCATTCTGTGTTGTTGGTGTCATTATAAATGTGCTGTTGGATAATTTGACTGTAAAACTTTGCAATGTAACAATAGTATGACAAACAAATGGTAAAAATTAAAGTAAAGAGGCTTGCCTCAGAAGACCAATTCATTACAAAGGTAGATTCTGCTTTACAGAATTTGTAGAGACTTGCAGAATGGGATTATAGTATTAAATGGTTGATTTTATAACTGATGTCACTGGCCTCAGAGGGGAACCCTTATACCTGTTCTGTATATATTGAATATATAAATTATCTCATGATGAACTTTGGTCCAAGCTTTATTATTACTAATGACAAAATACCTGTAATACTTTATATTATATTTCTATAGATTTAAATAAAACCAAGACAACCTGCTGTCAGTCTAACCTTTTGATAATATCAGTAGTTAATCAGACCTCATTTAAACTATGTCAAGATTTGAAAAAAAATTTCAAGATTCTAGGTTGATTGCTCTAATAATGAAAAGAGTAGGTCTTAATGAGTCCCCTTGTGTTACACCAGATCACAGCTAATTCACTCTTCCTTTTAAAATTATATATATAACATCCTGATACACTCTCTCCAATCATCTCTTAAACAACTCTTTAAACTTGGCTTGATATCATCAAATTGAGATACTTGAACTCATTAGGGAAACTCTGTTTTCTTCATTTACTAAGAGATTTTAGTACAGACATAGTTTAACTGTGTTGAAATTATTCCAACTATTTGCATACACAATATGAAATTATTTCCGTTGTAGTTGAAAACAGTGTATAAAACTTATAATTCTTTCAAAATGAATTCTGTATTATTAGTTGCAGTGTATTTTCTTTTGGATTTAAAATTCTCAGAAGGTGAGTCAACTATATCATTAAAAGTTTAATTTGGTTTGTTATTTCCAGAACAATATATAATTTGTAATGGATTTTGGCTGTAATCCAATTGTTAGTACAATGAAGACCTGTAATTTGAAATTTTACTAGTGTTGATCATTTTGAAAATTAAACACAGCCAGTTAATTTAGTTGTGATTCTGAGAATGTAGATATTGTATTTTTATTTAGAATAGCAATGTCTATAGTAAAGGGATTGTAAAGAGGTTTTCTACATTTTTCATGTGTACCGGGGACATTGATGAAATGAAAATGAAATAAATGGAGTTTTAAGTCCTACTTTTCTGCACAATGTGGGCTAATGACGGGCAATTCCATGCAGGTTGCAATGGGGAAAATTTTGCCATTTCCAACTGTCGAGGGATCTTTAACGTGCAAAGCCTGTAGCACATGGGGACTTTGTTTATTGTCCCATCCGAACTACTAGATGCTTTTTCCATGTCAGCCCTCTCTTACCTGCATCCCTGGCAGGGGGAAACCGGGATGAAAAATTCGAAGGTTACATCTCGACCTATGCCGGGATTGAAGCCTGACCCTTCAGGATGGCGAGCAAGCGTCTACAGAGACATTGATAGCATCAATTTCCACCATTCCAATAAGGATGTATGGTTTCTGCAATTTTACGAATAAGTGTTTGACGATGTCACCAATCACAAAATATGTTTGATTACATAGGACCTTTCATGATTCAATCAATCAACAATCACTCAGTTTAGGTGTAATTGCAGGAACCACAGACGTCTGATTGAAAATTGGAATGGTGCAAATTGATGCCATCAGTGTTCCTGATACACGAAAAAATTAGCAAGACCTCTTTGGAACCGTTTCAGTAAAAAAATTGTTTAAAAAGCATCACATTTTGGAACATATATTGGTGTCACCCCTGTCAGTCTGTCCTAAATTGCTTGAAACAATCTTGAAGGCATAGATCTTGACAGATTTTGATGAAACTTGGTGTGAGTGTTTATTATCACCCAAGAATGAACCCTATCAATATTCCAAAAGATCAAAAAATATCAAATATGAGTTATTGCCCTTGTTCTTGAAAACACTGTAGAATTCTCAAAGGAACTTGGTGAAATCATTTATTTTCACCCATGGATAAACTCTATTGAAAATCCACAAATTTTAAAAAATATTTTAAATGAGTTATTGCCCTTGTTCTTGAAAATGCTTTCAACACTTAAAGGCATGATTCTTGACAGATTTGGACATAACTTTGTTATATTATTCAGTATCACCCTAAAGAGTTCAAAAGAAGTGTATGACTGAGGGTTGAATATTTCATACTGGTGATTCTTACTGTACTGCCAAATATTTTAATTCAAAATCAAAGCTGCCACTGGGTGTATATTAACTTGCCTGGCAAGCTATCTTTAAAACATGTTTAAATCGGTTGTCATTTAACCCTGCTTTATCAAATCAACTGAAATTAGTAAATTCCAAAGTGAAATGAAAAGTCTAAAGTTACTGTCTCTTTAATTTATGAAGTAGCACCTAGTACAAGTTGGTGTTATAAGTACTATATGTTATGATAGTTTTCATTTCCTATTATACTTGAGATAATATCACCACAATATGTTCACTATAACTACTGACCTCATTATCTACTTTCTAATACTCCTTGTTATGTAAAATAAAATTAGCATGAACACAGGGAGCTGCAGTGGCTCAGTGAATTCAACACTTGCTCTCTAACCTGAAGGTCCAGCATAGGTCGAGATAATACTTTCAAATTTTTCACTCGATTTTCCTGTGTGATATGATGCAGGTCTGAGGCATCTAGTTTTTCAGACTAGACAAAGATCCCTGGAAATCGAAAAAAAAGTTTAGGCTTGTGCTGCTGTCCTAGGAAAAACCCTTATTGCACACTACCTAGTTTCACCTATCTGTATCACTTTCAGAATCAAAATCCCACCTGTGGTTCTATTGCAAATTACAACATCACAATATCATTTAGTATGTCCTGGAAATGATGAAATGACTATAATTTAGTAATTTTGTAGAGGAACAGAAAGTCATTGTTTAATTTAGAAAGTGATACAGATAGCTGAAATTGAGCTCAAGCAAATATTTAGACACTAATCAGTCTAATAAAAATTATACCAAACTTTTATTTTTAATATAGCCACTTTATTTAGATGACGATGTTCAATTGTGCTGTCACTAGACCAACCCTATCGCCAGGAATGAATTGGTGCTGGGGCTTGGATTTTGTACTCAGAAAATTTGAAGAATTGCAGGCCCAGAGAACTCATTTATGACAATTTTAAAATGCCTAATCGTATCAAAATCTATATCTTTTTGATTTTGTACAAAGACACTGAAAATAAATCAATCTCTGCTGATCTGAAGAAGGTTTTGCTGGGTCTTGATTCTCACTTGCTGGGGCCCAGCCCCCACTGACCCCACCCTAACGACAGGGCTACACTAGACACTAACAGGAGTGGCTATATGAAAATAAAAGCTAATAAAAATGCATCTGTATCATTTTTCAAAATTAAAACCGACATTCTGTTTACCTACAAAGTAATTAAATAATTGTTTCGTCATCATTTCCAGAACATGATATTCATAGTGATGTCATATTACTTTGGAAGAGTTCAATCGAACCATAGACAGAATTTTGATTCTGAAATGGACACCAATATTTAGGTTGAAATAATATAGTATGGCAAGTTCATATAAAAAATCTCTGTACATGTCATAATTTGTTACTCACATTTGAATTATATTTTTTTAGGAAATTTAGATGATTTGTTAATACCATGTTGTAATGAAGGTTTAGATTGGTCACTAGGTGACAATAGATGTAGCAGCCATCATGGTTACGTGGCCAATATATCTCGTGAAGATCTACCTACGTGTCACTCAGTGATAGAATTATGCTGTATTAAAGATGTTTTTGTTAAACAGTGTGAGAAAGGAAAGGAGAATGCCCTGGATGGTCAGATGTGTGCTATAAGAGATTCCGAAGAAGGGGCTGAAAAATACAAGGTAGAATTATTATATTTCTTAAAGATGGGTTTCCTTATATTTTAGTGTCAAATTAAGCAAACTATTTGGTTTGATAATATTTAAACCAATTTTTTTAACTATTCTAATTTTGATAATTAGACCATTTTAACCAAAAAAAAAAAAAAATTCACAAACAAAGATTACTTCCAGAATATCAGTGGGAAAACAAATATTTACTTCTATATGATAACTAAAACCCACAAATTGATGAACACAGTCACTCCCTTTGCCACCACCTTGAAAGAGATATGGTATTTTAGCAGTGTTTCAAAATAAGAGATTAATTAACAGAAATGGAGAACTTAAATTCTCAGCTATTTAGGGATTTTACTAAAATCATATCTCTGAAAATGGCAGGCTTTGGTACAGACAGACCTGTTCTGAAACACTTGTTTTTCTTTGTCCATGTCGATTTTAGATTATGCTGTGGAATGGTGAGGGAGGGGGCAAATTTCGAAAACACTATTTAAAGGAGCACCTTCAATATCCGCTCGAACCAATCATACCTTAGTTTCACAAACAGTAATTGTTTTATAGCTTACATAATTAGTAATAGTGTTCACAGCTCATCGTCGAAACTTGAGCCTTCAATTCCATGTGTATCCATAATTATTCACGTTTGAAAGTTGACTCAAGTTTGAGGTATATTTGAAGGGATTATGTAATTTTTGTACATTCTTAAGACTATTAAAGCACAATAAAGACCCAAATCAATCTCTGAAAATGCTGACTGATCCCCTCTAATAATAATTATTATTTTTAGGAATGTTGTATTTGTTGTGAATTAGGATTAATAGCTAAATCACAAGGTTTGTCCTGTCAAACACCAGACTACGGTTCACCATGTGATAATATGTTCCATGAATGCTGTACTGGACAAAAATATTATGATGTCTTCAATTCTACAGGTATGTGTGCTTGTTTGTGTTATTGGATTATATTATTTGTCTGATATTGCATCCATTTTGCAAACAAAATTTATTTTTGAAATCTGATTAAAGTGATACTACGTCTTAGAATGAACATAAAATTTAAGTTCTCAAGAATGGTCAATATGAGTATATTATATTTATCAGTTAACTTATCTGGAGTCATAAAGTTACAACAGAATCCGTGTATAATCCGGAAAATTGGAAATTTGAAATAACTAAGTAATTAATGAAAACAAAATCTTAATATTAAGCGTTTTTCAATAGTTAATTTCATATTTATGGATAATTTTTGGATTTATTGGATTATATTATGTTATTTATGACACCAGGTATATCTACTGATGAATATATGCTCTTATTGGTCAAGTTTAAAATTCTTCAATTTTATGTTTATTCTAAGACGTATGCTTATTCAGACCTAGGTATTTGGCTTCCTGTTTTTTTACTTAACTTGTCATCTAAGATCCAATAACATTGTAATGCAAAATATTTTCACAGTATTCAACCAATCAGATTCTCAATTCATTAAATGACTTACACACTACATGTAAGGAATTCTGGGATATTCATCGTTAAACACTGTATGCCCCATTTAGTCATCTTTTCTGAATTTTCATTGCATTTGAGCTAAAAAACAGTAGTTATTGTTGAATTTTCTGTGGGAATGTCAACTTTAAAGGGACGGATTTGTGATTATTTTGACCAATCGACTTTAGTCTTAGAAACGTGAATTTTTAGCTAAGCCAATCAGTAATAGTGTTCACAGCTCACCATCGAAATATGAGCCTTCAAATCCATGTGTGTCCAGAATTATCTACGTTTGAAAGTCAACTCATCTTTTCTTGAGACTCTGTCATATATAGAAAAGACAAATATAGAAATAGAAAGTGAAATTCCTAGTTTGAGAAATTTTTGATGAAGTTATACAATTTTGGTCAATTTCTAGTACTTGTGAAGCCGATTTACAAAAATTCAGAGAACCAAATCAATCCTGAATCTGTCCCTTTAATAAGTGTGTATTATATTGTTTCCCTACTAACTTCTAGCTGATGATAGAAATGAGTGTGCATTGTTTCCTGGTCAGATCTGTTCTCATACCTGTGTTAATACTGTTGGTAGTTTTAGATGTGAATGTCGTGATGGTTACTCATTAAATGTAGATGGAAGAACATGTCAACAATCAGATGGTATTTATTTACACTCTTTTTGGTTATTAAAATGTGGATATAAGCAGGGGTTTTCAGTCTGGGAGGTAATATAATCAATCACGGATCCTAAAAGGGGTAATAGAAAAAACAAGGTTGAAAACCCCTGCTCTAAAGGTCCATTTTTTGAGTATTTGCCCCTGACTTAGTTGAAACTTGGTTTTTTCTGTTAATGGAAAGTTTCCAAATTGATTTTAATGAAACTTGATCATTTCCAAATCTGCCCATTTTGTCAACATGCAGTTGGTGAAAATAGAAACTTTTTCACTTGATCTTCATTTATTCGGTCATATACCTATTCAATCTAAAAATAAGCCGATTACATTTTTTTTTCTCAAATTTTTCATCTCCATTGCAATCTAACAAGTTACTACCATAGTCCTGTTCTGATGACATAATCTTCAATCAATCAAAGCGTGTTGTCTTGTTTTTATCACCTTTTGTTGTTTGTGAAATCTCCAAAAAGGATTCAATGCATGAAAACAAAAATCTGCATTTTGATAAAATTGGTTTTCTAGAGTAACAATTAAGCGGCCTTTGAAATGTATATTGAATATTGTTATTGTTATTTAGGTGAATATGGTGATACAGATTATAATTGTTATTATTGTTATTTAGGTGAATATGGGGATACAGATTATAATTGTTATTATTGTTATTTAGGTGAATATGGTGATACAGATTATAATTGTTATTATTGTTATTTAGGTGAATATGGTAATACAGATTATAATTGTTATGATATTGTTATTTAGGTGAATATGGTGATACAGATTATAATTGTTATTATTGTTATTTAGGTGAATATGGTGATATAGATTATAATTGTTATTATTGTTATTTAGGTGAATATGTTGATACAGATTATAATTGTTATTATTGTTATTTAGGTGAATATGGTGATAAAGCTTATAATTGTTATTTAGGTGAAGATGGTGATACAGATTATAATTGTTATTATTGTTATTTAGGTGAATATGGTGATACAGATTATAATTGTTATTATTGTTATTTAGGTGAATATGGTGATACAGATTATAATTGTTATTTATGTGAATATAGTGATACAGATTATAATTGTTATTATTGTTATTTAGGTGAATATGTTGATATAGATTATAATTGTTATTATTGTTATTTAGGTGAATATGGTGATACAGATTATAATTGTTATTATTGTTGTTTAGGTGAATATGTTGATGCAGATTATAATTGTTATTATTGTTATTTAGGTGAATATGGTGATATAGATTATAATTGTTATTATTGTCATTTAGGTGAATATGGTGATATAGATTATAATTGTTATTATTGTTGTTTAGGTGAATATGTTGATGCAGATTATAACTGTGAAGACAATAATCCCTGTGAACATCGATGTTTTGCTCTAGACGATGAAAATGTACAATGTAGTTGTTATGAAGGTTTTACTATTAATAACGATGGCAGAACTTGTACAGGTTAGTCATTTACATGACATCACTGGCTTTGTTACCTTGACTGAGGCCCTACTCGATTACAAAAAATCTGAAACCAGTTTGGTACATCAGATGCGCGTTGTAAACGTGTGAAACAGATTCGAAAAGCAAGAATAATTTAAAATTATAAGAGCCCTATGAATGACGCCATCTTGAATCCTAAGAATCTTCCCTGGGAGGCGAATTCACAGATTCAAAATCCGGATTCGGATTCAGGAAAACCGTTGTAAACGAGTGACACGGATTCGGTGACACGAGTAGGGCCTTAATGGTGGTTGTGGCTTCTTATCTAGGTTAACATGTGAAAGTATGGTGACTTTGAACAAGACATCTTCACTCCAGTGAATGGCTGTTAATGGCTATGGATACTCTGGGAAAGATCAATGCCACAAGGTTTTGGCCACAGACCAGCTGGTAGAAAGGATCTTTAATTGTGAACCGAAGTTGTTATCCTTGGCCAAAATCCAAAATTTAATGCCTGAAATATCTCAAAACTTTTATTGTGAAACCTTACAATGCCGTACATACCAGTGTTTTGACTGAAATGTCAACCAACCTCCCCAAATCTTCAAGTGAAGTTACATGTTCGCACTGCATTCTAGTTGAACAAATTAGTTCCCTTTTGATACAAAAATTGACAACATTTCAGTCAAAACACTGGAATGTAAGGCATTGTAAGGTTTCACAATAAAAGTTTTGAGAATTTTTCAGGTGTGAAAATTTAGCTCCTATATTTTGACATGTAGACATGGTTAGATAATAAAAATTGTTGCATCTCTGTCCTTTTGGGTCAAAGGTCAATCATTAAAGACTTGATTTTGTAGCCTGAAACTGATTGTCTCTGTACTATTTTTAGTAGAAATAGGCTGATGGATTATCTTTTATTTTATAGATATAGATGAATGTGCTGATGGAACATATCAATGTGCTCCAACACAGGAATGTGTTAACACACCTGGGCGTTATACCTGTCATACAGCACAGTGTGAACCAGGCCTTGTCTTTAATCCTATCACTAGAATCTGTGAAGATAGTTTTGAGTGTGAACGTGGCTTTGGTTTTAACAGTGTTACAAGGCAATGTGAAGGTAAGCTAAATGAACATTGTCAGATCTCTCCGAAGGTCCTACTCAATGCTGAACTTGTCTCCCATTCCATTTAAAGCTTTGCACCAAAGGAACGAGTTTGGGCTATCTTGGCATTGATTGGTCGAAATTCACGTCATACACTACAGTAATGTCAATGCTAGCTAGACGACGTCTCGCTATAACGCATGGTCACTATTTTGACAGTGAGATTAAGGCCTTACCTGTTGTTAGTGAAGCGATAATTGAACACAACAGGATACCAGTTTAACACAATGGCAAATTGGTATCAGGATTTTTTTTAAGAATTTTGTACTGGTTGTATTTAAGCCTACTAGCAGCTAGCTTAAACTCTATATACAAAATTTGTCAAACAAATACTGTTTTTATACGCCCTCATCTCCCTTATGTGGACGTATATTGTCGGCACCCCTGTCTGTCCATCCGTCAACATTTGCTTTTAAACATTCTACAAGGCACAAATCTTGATGGATTTTGATGAAACTTGACATGAGTGTTTGTTATCTCAAGGATGAAACCTATTGAAAATCAGAAAGGTCAAAAATATTTGGTATGAGTTATTGCTCTTGTTTTTGAAAACCCTTTCAATTTTTAGCTCGTTAACACTCTAGAAGGGACAATTCTTGACAGATTTTGAAGAAACTTTGTCATATTGCTTAGTATCATTCCAAAAAGCTCAAAAGAAGTGTATGACTGAAAGTTGAATATTTCATATTGGTAATTGTTACTGTACTGCTAAATATTTTGGAAGAATATAATTAACTAATTATATTTTAAGATATTAATGAATGTACCATATATGATGATTTATGTACTGGGCAGTATGAAATATGCCACAATTTGAACGCCTCCTATATTTGTGAATGTGAGGAAGGTTTTGAACGAGATAGAATCACCAGGCAGTGTCAGGGTAAACTGAACTATTGTAGATGTTGTCAAATTTGATGTTGGCATGATAGTCTTTGTAATGCATGGTTTTTCTTGGTGTGATAGAAAAAATTGTTTTTACTAATATATCAATAAATACAATAGTCATTTGCAGTTGTCTTGATAGTTGAATGAATTTAGTTTTGTATTTGGATTATTATTGAATGGCCCTGTTTACTGTTGGTTCAAGCTGAAATTGGTTTAAGTTGGCACATGCTAAAATTTTTTGCTAAAATTGAAAATTAAAATTGGTTTATTTGATTGATTGCTTTACTTACAGTGGGCTCAAACTGAAATTTTATAATTAACAGTTTGGCGTAGCTGCAAATGAGTCATTGATGAATGGTTATTTAAAAATAGCTGAGGTTGTAAAGATATTGGTTTACTGATGATCCGCTTTGCTTAGAATTTGTTCAAGCTGAAATTGGTTTAAATTGTGATGGACAAAAGCTAAAATTGGCTTCTTGGTGAATACCTCAGATAGAATAGACTCATTCATGAATGGCTTTACATTTGGATTAAGATAAAGATGATTTTAAAATGAGAATTTTGCCTTCTTACAATTGGATCATGCTAATATTGGTTCAATGAAATGGACTCAATGATAATTTGCTTAATGGTTATTAGCTCTTTGGTGATTATTCTGAAAATCAGAAGTTTGTTCACAAGGTCTACTTTGAAGTTGGTTAAACTGAAATTGGCTCATTGATGAATGGCTCTACTATCAGTTGGCTCATTGGTGAATGGCTCTGCTATCAGTTGGCTCATTTATGAATGACTGCTATCATTTGGCTCATTGATGAATGGCTTTGCTTCCAGTTGGCTCATTGAGGAATTGCTCTGATATCAGTTAGCTCAATGATGAATGATTCTGCTATTAGTTGGCTCATTGATGAATGGCTTTACTATCAGTTGGCTGATTAGTAAATGGCTCTGCTATCAGTTGGCTCATTGATGAATGACTTTGCTATCAGTTGGCTCATTGATGAATGGCTCTGCTATTACTTAGCTCATTGATGAATGGCTCTATCGGTTGGCTCATTGATGAATGATTCTGCTATCAGTTGTCCCATTGGTGAATAGCTCTGCTAGTACTTAGCTCATTGGTGAATGGCTTTGCTGTCAATTGGCTCTTTGATGAATAGCTCTACTATCTTTTGGCTCATTGATGAATGGCTCTGATATCTGTTGGCTCATTGGTGAATGGCTCTGCTTATAGTTTTTTCAAGCTGAATATGGTTCATTGATGAACGGTTAAAAGTGAGTAAGGCTGAAATAATGGTTTGTTGGTTATAACAGTTTAATGACAATGGATTTTCTTAAGATTTAATTGATAGATATTTGGTAAATATTTGCCTAACAGGTAATTTTTATTCTTAGTGAAATTTTATAAATTGAATGCATCCTTTTTAACTAACATTTGTTATTGTTTATGTAGATCTAAATGAATGTGGATTAGGTATTGATACATGTCTAGTAGGTGAAAGATGTGATAACACTATCGGCTCGTATTCATGTCGTAGATTCCGCCATTGTGGTACAGGTTATACTCTAGATGAACAGTCACAGAGATGTAAAGGTGAGTAATTGCAACAGACTTGTCAATTTTCAGAATAGTCGGTTAGATTTTGTGTACATCAAACAAATAGGGTTGTTATTACAACTATTTTAAACTTATCAGAAAATTATCAGAACTTGTTAGAACTTATCACAACTTATCACAACTTGTTAGAACTTATCACAACTTTTTAGAACTTATCAGAACTTGTTAACTTGTTAGAACTAATTGGAACTTATTAGAAGAAATACTTTGTTTTGCTATAGTACTTTCTTAAAGTATTACAAATATATAAGCCCTTGAAATTAATGTATAATCATATTTTTCATCTTCTGTTCAATATCCACTTAGTTCGTCTGGCCTAAATATTTAAAAAAAAAAGAATCCACAAATATGTTTCTCATGACATATTAAAACCAATTAATTTCATGACATATTAAAACCAATTAATTTCATGACATATTAAAACCAATTAATTTCATGACAGATAGAAACTAAATACTTTCATGACATATCGAAACTAATTCATTTCATGACATATCGAAACTAATTCATTTCATGACATATCGAAACTAATTAATATCATGACATATCAAAACTAATTTATTTCATGATATATAGAAACCAATTTATTTCATGATGTATAGAAACTAATTTATTTCATTACATATAGAAACTAATTCATTTCATGACATTTAGAAACTAATTAATTTCATGACATATCGAAACTAATTAATTTCAAAACATATAGAAACTAATTAATTTCATGATATATAGAAACTAATTAATTTCATGACATATAGAAACCAATTAATTTCATGACATATAGAAACCAATTCATTTCATGACATATAGAAACTAATTCATTTCATGACATATAGAAACTTATTAATTTCATGACGTATAGAAACTAATTAATTTCATGACTTATGTAAAAACTAATTGATTTCATGACATATGTAAAAACTAATTAATTTCATGACTTATGTAAAAACTAATTAATTTCATGACATTGTTTCTATGTAATTTGTAGATGATGATGAATGTATATTAGGAACACATAATTGTGGTCGTGGTTATCAATGTGTTAATGTACAAGGATCATTTCGATGTGAAGTCAAGAGATGTGAAGAAGGCACCAGGTTTAACCCTGTTAATGGGGAATGTGAAAGAGTCAACTGTAAAAGAGGGTTAAGACCTGACAGAATTGGAAACTGTATAGGTAAGCCATCTCTCTATGTGGACATATATTGTCAGCACCCCCGTCCGTACATCCGTCCGTCAACAACATTTTCTTGTGAGCGCTCTAAAAACTAGATTTTTTGATGGAATCAAATGAAATTCGGTATGTGTATACATATTCATAAAACAAAGATCAAGTTCGAATTTGAGTTATTTTCGATTGTTAGAAGCAAAGTTATTGCCCTTGCCCCAAAATCTTGAATATGCTATTACTCTCTTAGTTTTCAACCGATTTTGATGAAACTCAAAATGGATGTTATTGGACCTAAATCGAAAGGTTTGAGAAAGTTTAGTTTACTTCTGATTAAATTTAAGGCTTTTTCAAGATTTAGGCCTCTTACTTCAGTTTTTACAGTAAGTGCTTCTATCAACATCAATTGCTCGTAAACACTCAATAAACTTTCGTTTAGTATTTTTTTTTTTATTACAGCCACTTCAGAGTAGTGTCTAACGATCAAACTCTTGAACATTCGTCAAAATAACCTTTTGACCTAACCTGCTTCAACCAATCAAATTTACGCCTTCTCCACGGTTAGCATTTTGTGAGAGATTGAAGGAATTTGATTGGTTAAAGCAGATGTCATCAGGTTAGGTTATCATATATTCGTATGTTTTAATATTTCTATATTGCTCTACAACAATTGATGTATTGAACACTATATCGTTCTACAATTGATGTATTGAGCACCATTTTAACAGTTGTATTTCTATATCGCTCTACAATTGATGTATTGAGCACTATTTTAACAGTGGTATTTCTATATCGTTCTACAATTGATGTATTGAGTACTATTTTAACAGTGGTATTTCTATATCGCTCTACAATTGATGTATTGAGCACTATTTTAACAGTGGTATTTCTATATATCACTCTACAATTGATGTATTGAGCACTGTTTTAACAGGGGTATTTCTATATGACTCTACAATTGATGTATTAAGTACTATTTTAACAGTGGTATTTCTATATGACTCTACAATTGATGCATTGAGCACTATTTTAACTGATGGTATTTCTATATCTCTCTACAATTGATGTATTGAGCACTATTTTTACAGTAGCATATCTATATCACTCTACAATTGATGTATTGAGTACTATTTTAACTGATGGTATTTCTATATTGCTCTACAATTGATGTATTGAGCACTATTTTAACTGATGGTATTTCTATATCGCTCTACAATTGATGCATTGAGCACTATTTTAACTGATGGTATTTCTATATGACTCTACAATTGATGCATTGAGCACTATTTTAACTGATGGTATTTCTATATCGCTCTACAATTGATGTATTGAGCACTATTTTTACAGTAGTATTTCTATATCTCTCTACAATTGATGTATTGAGCACTATTTTTACAATATTACTCTACAATTGATGTATTGAGTAATATTTTAACACTGGTATTTCTATATCACTCTACAATTGATGTATTGAGCACTATTTTAACAGTGGTATTTCTATATCACTCTACAATTGATGTATTGAGCACTATTTTAACACTGGTATTTCTATATCACTCTACAATTGATGTATTGAGCACTATTTTAACACTGGTATTTCTATATCACTCTACAATTGATGTATTGACCACTATTTTAACACTGGTATTTCTATATCACTCTACAATTGATGTATTGAGCACTATTTTAACAGTGGTATTTCTATATCACTCTACAATTGATGTATTGAGCACTATTTTAACAGTGGTATTTATATATATCACTCTACAATTGATGTATTGAGCACTATTTTAACAGTGGTATTTCTATATATCACTCTACAATTGATGTATTGAGCACTATTTTAACAGTGGTATTTCTATATATCACTCTACAATTGATGTAATGAGCACTATTTTAACAGTGAAAATATTCTATTGTTGTATTTTGTTTTATAGATATTAATGAATGTATAGAATACAGTACTATATGTAATCAATATCAACAATGTGTCAATACAATAGGATCCTATCAATGTAGATCACTAGTTAATTGTCCTAATGGATTTGAAACTAATGAAAATGGTAGATGTGTAGGTAAGGAATATTATAATTATATTTTTACGCTATAAACTAAATCTGTAGAAACTGCTGGATTTATGTTAATGATAGCCTACTAATAAATCCATATCAGAGCAAACTCAAAGGGAAAAGTACTGCATTTCTGGGGCTCAAGTTGGACCTAGAATATTATGTGAATAGTCTTCTACTACAAATTTATGGATATCACACAATTACTTCAAAAAATACCTCAAACTAGGAATTTCTTTTTATGGCATTATCTTACTACTTGAACAATTTGAATTAACTTCATTAGTCAAACTAAAATTTGGTGTTATAAATTGTCAATCAAATTTTTGTATCTAAATTTAACCCTGACATAGACCTGCCTAGTTTTAATTTTAATTAAAACTATATTGAATGTATAAAAATGATACAATGTGTTTACAGATATTGATGAATGTGCTAGTGGTAAGCACAGATGTGCTGGAGAACAACAATGTGTTAACAGACAGGGAAGTTATTTCTGTCAATGTCCTCGTGGTTATAGATTTATTAACAATATTTGTGAAGGTAGGTTATTATTTCAGTCAGTGCTTATTGATTTGGGTCCAGTGGCGGCTTCAGCTTAATGGGACTTGAGGTACAAATAGGGGGCAGACGGACTCAGTTTCGAGGTTTAGTTCAAAATGTGGAAGCGCCAAAGGATACCCCAAACCTACCATGGAATGAGGATTCTCCCCAAAGAATATTTTTGCAAAATAGAATTGATTTAGTGCATTTGGACACATATTTTAGGCAAAAACATAGATTTGTGGAAATGAAGTTGGGGTACAATATTTGAAGTACAAACCATTCTTCTTTGGGGGCAAATGTGATATCAAATCTTTAGTGTGAATGAATTAAAATGTAAAGAGCTGTATTATGAAATCTAAGGAACTATCAGTACCTGTCTCAAAGACTTAAGAACATGTGTCCTGCCTCAGTAGGGATATGGAAATGGTCCAGTTGTCTCTACCCTACTTTCACAGCAATGAGGCTTAAATAAGCAAATTCTCTTAAAATCACTCTGTTTGAAACTCTGAAAAACAACAAATTTTAGAAATTTCTCACTATAACCTGTTTTATTTTAGATGTAGATGAGTGTGCCTACAGTGCTGCTATTTGTCCATTGCAATCTAAATGTCAGAACACACCAGGAAGTTATGTTTGTACTTGTAAAGATGGTCTAGAATCAGATGGTAGAGGGGGATGTAGTGGTAAGAGCTTTCAATTGAAATGAAAAATAAGAGTCACAACTTTATAAATATTCATTCATAAATCCACTTCCAAACCATTCGATTGAGGCTAGAATTGGAATAGCAAGCTATGCAAAATTGTCCACATTGCAAAGTGCACGGCATGGCCTGTTTTCATAAACCACAGAGTGAAGTATAAAAGTAAGATTCATATTTGGATTGTTTTCTATTGTAGATATTGATGAATGTACAACTAGAAATATTTGTCATCATAAATGTATCAATAATTTTGGTAGTTATTTCTGCACCTGTAACCGTGGTTACCAACTATCAGTAGATCAGAGGACATGTGAAGGTAAAAAATAAAATTCCTTACAAGCAAGACAATTCAAAAATCTTGTCCAAAAAATGGCAAAATCGAGAGTAAATGTAGTAAAGTATACTTCCAAAGAGAAGTACCATCAGGTGTTTTGGTAAGAGTAAGCAATACTACACTACTACAATAGTCAAAATCATGAGATACAACCAGATTCATGCCTGACCAAACAAATCAGCCAAAATGTCAGTAGCAGATTTATTGTATTTATCAAGGAGTACACATCTATTAATAGTCAATTATGAGTTAAGATGGACATGAATGAAACTATCCTTGTATTTTGGTATTGATGAATGTAATCATCCAGTTGTATTTTAGATATTGATGAATGTAATCATCCAGTCGTATTTTAGATATTGATGAATGTAATCATCCAGTTGTATTTTAGATATTGATGAATCTAATCATCCAGTCGTATTTTAGATAAAGATGAATGTAATCATCCAGTCGTATTTTAGATAAAGATGAATGTAATCATCCAGTCGTATTTTAGATATTGATGAATGTAATCATCCAGTTGTATTTTAGATATTGATGAATCTAATCATCCAGTTGTATTTTAGATATTGATGAATGTAATTATCTAGTTGTATTTTAGATATTGATGAATGTAATCATCCAGTCGTATTTTAGATATTGATGAATGTAATCATCCAGTCGTATTTTAGATATTGATGAATGTAATCATCCAGTCGTATTTTAGATATTGATGAATCTAATCATCCAGTTGTATTTTAGATATTGATGAATGTAATCATCCAGTTGTATTATAGATATTGATGAATCTAATCATCGAGTTGTATTATAGATATTGATGAATGTAATCATCCAGTTGTATTTTAGATATTGATGAATGTAATCATCCAGTTGTATTATAGATATTGATGAATGTAATCATCCAGTCATATTTTAGATATTGATGAATGTAATCATCCAGTCGTATTTTAGATAATGATGAATGTAATCATCCAGTAGTATTTTAGATAATGATGAATGTAATCATCCAGTAGTATTTTAGATAATGATGAATCTAATCATCCAGTTGTATTTTAGATATTGATGAATGTAATCATCCAGTCGTATTTTAGATAATGATGAATGTAATCATCCAGTAGTATTTTAGATAATGATGAATCTAATCATCCAGTTGTATTTTAGATATTGATGAATGTAATCATCTAGTTGTATTATAGATATTGATGAATCTAATCATCCAGTTGTATTTTAGATATTGATGAATGTAATTATCTAGTTGTATTTTAGATATTGATGAATGTAATCATCCAGTTGTATTATAGATATTGATGAATGTAATCATCCAGTAGTATTTTAGATATTGATGAATGTAATCATCCAGTCGTATTTTAGATATTGATGAATGTAATCAGTTTGGTGGTAGAGGTCGTGTTTGTGGTGGTAGGTGTAGTAACACTCCTGGTTCCTTTACCTGTGATTGTCCAGATGGATGGAAGAAATCCAGAGATTCCAGATCATGTGAAGGTATCAAATCAAACTACAAGCTATAAGATAGTTTAAGTTTTCATAACTTTACTCGACCAATCACCAAAAATAAAAAAAACTTATATAAGCAATACATTTCTATTAACCCTAAATCTTGTCCAAAGCATGACAAAATCAGGAGTAATAATTGTATAGTAGTGGACTCTTCAAACGAGAAGTACCATCAGGTGTTTCAAAAAGAGTAAACATGGTCTGCTTCCCATGCAAAACTGTCTCAAAATGAAGACATAAGAATAAGTTCTACTACATGGCCAACTTAGGTCAGTTGTCTGATGATTGCATAACGTGAAACTCTGAGTAACATAATGAAGTTCTGTTTTAATATTTATATTTTGTATTTTTTTTTGTAGATATTGATGAATGTAGTGATGGTACAGCCTTCTGTCCATCTAGAGATAGTACATGTGTTAACACAAGAGGAGGCTATAAATGTCCTGTTGTACAGTGTCCAGAAGGTTTTGTTAAAACTGTACCAGGAGGTCAACAAAATGCGTAAGTTACAATATATTTGATAGATTGTTGAAGCATGTATTTGGTGTTAGTTTTCTTTTTCTCTTTAGTTAATGACAGTTCTGTGGAAATATAATATTTTACCTAAGTAAATCAGAATTTTCAATTTCAAAAATCTGTACAGTTGTTTTCTTACAGCAACCAAAAAGCATAATTTTGGTGTAAAAAATTAAGGGCTGTTTTTTTTTGGTTAAAACTTTCAGATACGTTAAAGAGCACATTTCTCTAGATATAGTATTTATAAATTTGCGCACATGAATATTTCGACCTTCAAAAAAAACAAAATGAGTGTTCCTGTGTTATTCTTTGGTAATATTAATATACGAAAGTCTAATTAAAATACAGCTGTAGGTTTTGCATTATATGTTTCTACTGGATTACTTCACGCACACCATGATCACACAACATCTTTTTTTAAATCAGGTTCTACAATATTTTAAATTGTGAGCCCATCAAATCCATTGCTTGAGTTTGATTTAAAGCACAGGTCCAATCATCATATAGTAAATATTACATGATTTTAAATGCCTTTGATTGGTTGATTAAGTCAACATACCTACCTTAGAAATGTATTAAGATCATGATACACATAGAAAATGTACAATATCTAGAGCTGTATTTAATGCATGTTTTTTCAGGCATGAATTGGTTTTTTATACAAATAAAATTAACACAATAAGCTTGGAAACCAATTTGTTGTCTTTATGTTGTTGTTGTTTGTTTTGAATTATTTGTTGTTGTTATTTTGTAGTGTTCGTTGTAAACAAGCTGGTTCATTTAATCCTAACGCTAATGAATTGATATCTATGTCTTACAACTTTTTAACATTCCCAACCAATATCATCATTCCTACACCACTGTTTTCAATGACTGGAGCTAAAGATAGTCAACGTAGATACAGTTGGGAACTGAAAATACTTCAAGCTCGACCACTGTTAGCTGGTGTACCACGAGCCTCTAAATTAAACTTTGAATTATCTCAGACAAACAATCAAGCTGTAGTAACTCTTGTTAAAAGAATTCAGGGACCTCAAGATGTGATTCTTCAATTGTTGATGAAAATCCAATCTGAGAAATTCAACGGAATCGCAGAATCTAAAATATATCTGTATGTTACAGATGGACCTAGTACATTTGCTTAACTCATTCTCACCTAATGATATCTCTTATTATTTGTGCTATATATCAAGACACATATGGTCATTTGTGCCATATATCAAGACACATATGGCTATTTGTGCTATATATCAGACACATATGGTCATTTGTGCAATATATCAAAGACACATATGGTCATTTGTTCTATATATCAAGACACATATGGTTATTTGTGCTATATATCAGACACATATGGTCATTTGTGCTATATATCAAAGACACATATGGCCATTTATTCTATATATCAAAGACACATATGGTCATTTGTTCTATATATCAAGACACATATGGCCATTTGTGCTATATATCAAAGACACATATGGTCATTTGTGCTATATCTCAAAGACACATATGGCCATTTGTGCTATATATCAAAACATATGGTCATTTGTGCTATATGTATATCAAAGACACATAGTCATTTGTGGTATATATGTCAAAGACACATATGATCATTTGTGGTATATATATCAAAGACACATATGGTCATTTGTGGTATATATATCAAAGACACATATGATCATTTGTGGTATGTATATCAAAGACACATATGGTCATTTGTGCTATATATCAAAGACACATATTTCTGGTCATTTCAACATATTACCACATTATTACTTTTCCATAATTTTGACAAAAAAATTGTACCGTGGCCTAAAACAGCACTTCTCAACCTCAGTGAAATCATGCCTCCACAAAAGAGTTCTTACAAATCTTTTCCTCCCCAAAATAAATCAGTCATTTTGAAACGTTTTTCACTCTAAAAAAAGTACTCTACGATTAACCATGAATGGATATAAAATCATACACCACATATCAAGATAGTTCATTGTGACCCTTTTCTGTATGTCAAGGGTAAAGATTTTACGTCTTCATTTTATACCTTGACTGCAAGTCCCACTTTCTTGTTTCACGGTCAACAATTTGATTGGGTTGTACACCAGCGAATACGGCCAATCAGAACTCTCAATTCACGTGTAATTAATTTTTACAGTTTCTGTCGAGGGCTCAGATTGGCTGTATTCACTAGCGTATAATGCAATCAAATTGCTGCATTCAAAAACTTCTTCTATGAAACAAGTAAGTGGGTCATTTCCAGTCAAGGTATAAGATGAAGACGGAATACCTTATGTGATGAAGCATATTTTGCGATTAGTGACATCAAACACTTAGTTTTAGTGGGATTGCAGGAACCACAGACGTCGAATTGAAAACTAACGTTGATAAATGTATTCAAAATATTCCATTTTTATATGATTTCAATAAATTGTACATATCCAATATAATCACGTCCTAGATTTTATTTGAATAAACTTTCGGATCATTACAGAATTTTCTTTTTCTTATTTTGTCTTATTGTAGCCCTAAATTGTATGTCATTCAATGGTCTAACGGCCTAATCACCTTAACGGCCATAGTTCGCCATTTTTCGGGTGTTGATTTGGTTCTTGAATATAGATAAATAGTCTTCAGAAGTACTTTAGAACCTACGAAAATAGAATAATCCCTTCAAATATTTCACGTTCTATTTCTATATGTACGTCTCGTCATTTTAACTTTCAAACACGGATAATTCTGGACACATATGGATTTGAAGGCTCAAATTTTGACTGAGAGCTGTGAGTTATTCTAGTTTCTTAGACTAAGGTTTGATTGGTCCAACGAATTGAATCAATCAAGTGAATGAAGGTGGAATGTATTGTGATCCATATTTGATATTTGCATGTTTTTGCATGAGTTAACAACTTTTGAAAGGTGAATAACTTAAATTCTAATTTGTAAGTACAAACTTTCTTAATATTAAGGGTGCTTATCCTACTGGGTGAAACAATGATATTTATGGGACCTTCCATATTCCCCAACCCCAATTACACAAGACTCAATGCATAAAGGAAATTTCTTTGGTAATCTTTATAGTAATGAATCCATTTCCATCAATAATTGTTGGTTTGGTGCCTTCTACAGAAACAGTGTGGCTTCTTCAGTAACACACGTCATTGCTAATCTTGGGATCCTGAGACCGGGGGTACAATTAGAAGGCAGATTGGTTTAGTGGGGGAATTCAAAATACAGCTACTCTCTCGAAATGACTTCAGCCTTGAATTGTACCTCCACTTTCACCACCACGGTCCATTAGATGCTTACGTCTATGGCACTTCCACCGAGATATTGCATTTTTAAATATAACTGCGTGACATCCTTGTTCTCAAATTTGAAATATTTTTGTAACTTTTTTTGTAGAGAGTTGATAGCAGACGAAGGGGGTGTAGTTTGTGGTAGAATAAGCTGTGATCCACTAGATTTACGTTGTGTTTCAAATAAAACAAAAACAATATCATGGCAATACCTGGCTCTGCCATCAATGGATTTTGTCAAAATTCCCGTAACACTTTTAAATATTAAAACAATAGGATATTCAATTTATCCAAATCTAGATCTGCGTATTGTTGCCGGCAATAGAGATAGATTTTTTGATACAGTTGTTGAAGGTGATAAAGGTTTGTACTATTTTTTTTATATTTAATCAATATGTATCAATCTTGGTCCAACAAACCATCCTGTTACTTAATTTGATTGGTTCCTGGTTTAGTTGTGTACCAATCAGATTAAATCTTGAATTTTTTACCTTTGCCAATGTTTTATGATACTATGTTCTCATCAACATCTAAATCTGGATTGCTGTAGCAAGGAAAACCAAACCTTTATGCAATACGTTTCACATTTTGAATAGTGAAGGGATCAAAAATGTTCTTTTTAACCCAAATCATTTTGCCGTGGAGTGCTATAGTTACCGAAGAACAATCAGGGCCAAAGTTGGGAAGAGGGGTACTTAGAGTTAGCAAAAACCTTTTCTGTGGCAAGAATGGCCATAACGATTGAGTTCTAAAGGCAAAGTTGTTGGGTGGTCAAAATTTCACGATATAGCTGTAGAATTTTCGTAATAGATTGGCATTGTGGAGATGCAGATTTGTATTCTTTGATTATAATGTTGTTATTTTACTGTTTTTCAGCTGCCTTAAGATTGCTGAGACCATTACCAGGCCCGAGAGAACGTCAAGTTACTTTACAGTTAGAAAACCGTGATTTTTCTCGGCGAAATGTGATATCCCGGCATGTAACTCATGTAAAAATGTTTGTTTCTGAATATAATGCCAATCACATGTTTTAGAAATAACTATTCGCATGCAATGCCAAACGTGTGTTTTAAAGAAACTATTCAAATACAATTCGACTTCGTCAATAATTTTGACGTAACTGTTTTCTGTTATCCGAATATAATTTAACATTTCAACCATGTGTTTTTGACTAAACTATCCAAATACAACTTAAAATAGCAACCACGTGTTTTTGACTAAACTATCCAAATGCAACTTAAAATAGCAACCACGTGTTTTTGACAAAACTATTCAAATACAATGTTAACATTTCAACCATGTATTTTTGACGAAACTATCCGATGACAATGTCAATATGTCAACCACGTGTTTTAGACGAGCTATCTACCTGGTGGTTACCATATTTTAGAAGAGGAAAATTTGGATCGGATAGATGAATACTAAACTTAATCGTGCTTGGAACATGCTTTTGGTCGTGTTGGTTGTGAACACAAGTTATCAGAACTAAATGTTGTGATCTTTAATGAGTTTTAAGTATGGTGGTATGACCAAAATCTAGTGATTTGTGCCCATATCTTATCTAAAAGTGTTAATTAAAACTTAACGACAAAAATACATATGTATTTAAAAGATTTACGTTAACCTTTAAAAGTGTTATGTTTTTGGGTTGGTATTCGAAATCATTTTGCAAAATAAAGGTCAAATGGTAGAGAAATATGTCTCCTGCTTATTCTGAAGATTTCACCTGCAAATATTCAACAGTTATGAATTGGCAATCAAAAGATAGTGGACCACAGACATATACGCCCACCACGGCATGCAGATGGTAAATATTCAAGATTTGGGGCAAGGGCAATAACTCTGCTTCTAACGGCCGAAAATAGCTCAAATTCGAACTTGATCTTCGTTTTATGAATATGTATACACATACCGAATTTCATTTGATCCCATCAAAAAATCTAGTTTTTAGAGCGTTTACAGGCAAATTTTGACGGACGGACGCACGGATTGACAGGGGTGCTGGGAGCCGCGGTGGCTCAGTGAATTAGACGCTTGCTCGCTAACCTGAAGGTCCAGGGTTCAATCCCGGCATAGGTCGAGATAATACCTTCGGATTTTTCAAACCGGTTTCCCTCTGTCAGTGATGCAAGTAAGAGGGGCTGACATGGAAAGAGCGTCTAGTCGTTCGGATGGGACAATAAACCGAGGCCTCGTGTGCTACAGGCTGTGCACGTTAAAGATCCCTCGACAATTGGAAATCGAAAAAGAGCAGGCTAATGCCGCTGTCCTGGCAAAATTTCCCTCATGGCACCCTGCATGGCGTTGCCCGTCTTCATTAGCCCACAAGGTGCAGAAGAGTAGGACGTAAAACTCCATTCATTTCATTTCATTTTTTTTGACAGGGTTGCTGACAATATACGTCCACATAGAGAGATGTGAGAGTATAAAAACCATGAAAAAGTAACATTATATGAAGTAAATTGCGAGGCTTGCGACTATGTCGTCTCCACAGAGTTGCCGCATTATGAATTCAGACTCAATAGTTTGCCTCCCCATTGCGTCAGTCTTTCCCTATTTGTCCGTCATCATTATTATATTGAATAAAAACTGTCATTATGATTCAAAGATAACTTTGGCACACTTTGCTATGAACATTTCGATGTCTCTTTGTTGGCTGTATCATCAGAAACCTTTTCCATCTGGAATTTGGAATTTCAAAGCATCATTAGGCAATCCTCTGCAGTTTTTCCGTAAAGCTTTGTTTCATGGAGGCCGTTTGTCAAAGCACCTCAGAAACACATACGTATGAACCTTTCTCTTACTAATCACGGCGTGTAAAATACCCATCTTATAATCTCATCAAAAACTGTTTCGCTGCCTTGTGAGATGTCTTTCACATGGTAATCATGGAATCTGCATAATAAAATCTCACTTGGTTGCTCGAGAAATCAAATGTTCTAATTAGTTGTGTTTTGTATCAATGATGCTAAAACAGTAGTTACCTCCCTTCTTTTGTGTATCTATTATGCTGTATCTTTTATCTTCAGTTTTTAACCCGGTATCCCCCATTGTCAGTGATGCAGGTCGGAAGGCCTAGCATTGGAAAAGTGTCTAGTCTTTCGGATGGGACAATAAACCGAGGTACCGTATGCCAGGCTGTGCACCTTAAAGATCCCTTGACAGTTGGAATAAGGAGGAGGCTAATGTAGCTGTCCTGGCAAAATATCCTCATTGCGTACAACATGGCTTTGCCCGTCTTCATTAGCCCAATCAGGTGCAGAAGAGTATAAGGATGTAAAACTCCATACATGTCATTTTTTTCTAACTTCAGACAGTTCATCCTATTGAAAATGTGGCCGTCAACAGGGCGCCACCGTCTATCATTTTGCAATTAATTTGCATTGGTTGCATTATGTTTATTCCGCTTGAATGAATGATTAATGATGCAGATCTCAATATTTGGCAGGAACTGGCATCATTGATGAATATTTAATTAAATAGATGATTAATTTTCAATCGTTAACCGTTGACAGAGAAATGTTTTTTTCTAAATTAAATTTGAATAGATTAATTTTGTTTAAACTAGATTTAATGAAGGATAGAAATTAATTTGTCAGGTTGCAGTCACTCTCATCAAGAATAGAGTAAAAAATATTGTCAGAATTATTATCAGAGATTTTTGGCGCTAGGACAAATAAAACATTTCTTATGTTCAGCTTAGTTTCCCTCGCATTAAAGATGGGTTCTCTTATTTTCATTTATGAAAATGCTTATATACTTATATAAATAGAAAGAAGAATGACTTGGAAAAATACCAGTTTGTCTCACATGTGCATAATTAATTCATAATTAGCTAAATTAGAAGAGAATTACTAGCAGAATTCCAATGAGTGACCGATCAAGAAAAGTCAAAAAGTCTTTTTTTTGTTTATCCAGACTGTACGTGCATTTATGATTGGTTAAAACTCTTAATCATATGCAATAAGAACATAATGATATGATTAAGAATACATGATAATTCATTAGAAACACCAATTAATCAAATAGTTTAATTTGACACTAAAAATAAGGAAATCCATCTTTAAGAAAAGGTAAACTTTGAAGATCAATGTTATAATGCCAGAGATATTGTGCCCTAAGGAATAAAAACAATGAAAAGAATTGAGTTCTACTTCCTAGGCCTACGTTTCTTCACCGTGTAGACTAATGAAGACAGGCAACACCATGCATGGAAATTTTGCCAGGACAGCAACGTGCACAGCCTTTTACATAAGGGGCCTCGGTTTATTTCCCCATCCGAACGACAAGACGCTTTTTCCATGTCAGCCCCTCTTATCTACATCACTGACAGGAGGAAACCGGGTTGAAAAATCCGAAGGTATTATTTCGACTTATGTCGGGATTGAACCCTAACTGAGCTACCGCGGTCCACGTTCTAAGGAATAGCTTGGTATATCCTAAGTAAAAGATTTTTTATCGATACAATCAGTTATCAACCTGCAATAGCTGCTTCAAAAGAGTTAGTGGACTCGAGGCCATAAGAGGGCACTAATTAGGCCGATCTCCAGGCGCTTCTGAAAAGATAACCCTTTTTTCCCTATGTCAGTTTTGTTACTATTCACATGAACTACTTTTCTACTTCAAAAAGTAATATGAAGGGTGCTTGTAACATTCCCCTCATTCCGCACTTCAAGGCTATGCTCCCATTCATGGTTACCAGAGTAAGTTGCAGACACTATAGAACGTAAAACTCGATTTCGTATCGGTTCTACTTGCATGATTTCCGTGGCCATTTTTTATATACTTGACCAATTAATTTCCAGCTGTCCATATCACTTTTCTGAATTAAAATCTGACACCTGTTTCTCTTACAATTGATTCACATCGTAGCATGCCAGTTCAGACAGTCTGCATTTACTGGGCTTTATTAACATATCACTAATACCTCTCACGTCATACAATCAGTACAACCTGCATCCTAGAACGTACATTCTATGCCCTGAAACTGAAAGTGACGGAAATTTAAAATTGTGCATTGTAGTAGAACCTGACGTCGGATCTTAATTATGAAAAGAAATATAGATAGCCGACCAAGTATAGACTGCATCACGATTTAGATACCGAATTGGCTAACAAAATCTCGATTTCAAGGAAATCTTTTTCCGAAGTAACATCCATGCCAGTGGACAGTTAGAAGCAGAGTTATTGCCCTTGCCCCAAAATCTTGAATATGCTATTACTCTCTTAGTTTTCAACCGATTTTGATGAAACTTAAATGGATGTTTCGTTTTTACCATCCGCATGCCGTGGTGAGCATATATGGCTGTGATCCACTATCTTAGTAATTAACTACGAATTCTCTAGTGTAAAATCTTGACTTTCAGTTTCAATTGTATATTGTCAGCAACAGTAAATATATAGAATCTTTGGTTCACTGAGGCTTTAAGTAAATTTCTCTCAAAGACTTGATTGATTATCAAAAACATTCATTCTCCTTTTCATGCTAAACTTTAATTGAATCAATGAAAAAATGCCCAGTTGGCTTATTTCTCCTTCTTTCTCGATTACTTGAAGAAGAGATTTTGTTTGAAAAGGAAATAATTAGCGTCTTAATGGTTCCTTTAAAGCAGTCAATAATCTGAGTGATTCAAATTACAGGTATTAAATTCCAGCTCGGAATTGAACAGTTTTTAACCCTTTTTGATGGTTATTGAACTGCGTCAAATGGTATTTAGTATGACTATTATATAAAGACGACATACAATATGTCAAAGTAATGACTAATAAGACATATTAAAGTACAACTGATGATGTTAATATTCAAATGTATTTTAATTGAATTTTAATGTTCGGTGGCGTTTCTATTTGAAACTTAGACCGACTCGACTTTGCCCTTCCCACTTCTCCCTTCAAATTTCTTATAATTCTACAGAGGGAGAATACACCCCTCCCCCCCCCACTCCCCCTAATTCACCTCTAACAAATTTATAAATATAATTTTTTTTACATTTTTTGTCCCATAATCAGTAATAGAATACACCAAATCAATTATATTTTTTAAAAAACTTCTTTGGAACCTTCTTAGACGCTCACGCTCCATGGTAGTCTTATAACGCTTCCACCGAGCTACGATATTTTGACATCAACCTCGACAGTTGTCCCATCTATATAAAGTCTCAGGTGACTGGCGCCGCACTGCTTGGCCTATACCATTTTTCTTTCAGATATGTCTCTCTTAAACTGACAAAATAATACGGAAACTACAGTAATACTTTTTAAAAAAAGGGATGTATGCATCCATTCATTCTTTTAATAATAGTATATTTATAACTTATTTCCTTATCACAAGCGATTCGTTCAATCAAAACCAAGAGACTTTCCTGTCATCGATCAAGTTACCGCGATGTACACACTTCATTAAACAAGTCGGAAACCTCAAACAAATACTATCTTCAATAATCAGAAATCAAACACAACTTGCTTTATAGTTCATCAGGGTAATACAGGAAACTTTGTCCCATTGAACTTGAAGCTGTGGTTAAAATGTGAATCATTAAGTGGTTGAAATCAGTTTAACCCTTGTGGCCTCATCTCACTTTTTCTTTCTTTATCGAATTTATTAAACATGTCAGCCAATATGGACTACTTGTTTATAAATTTCTCAGGAAATGTTGACAAGAATGGAAAATTGAATTGGAAGTTGTATTCT